ATTTTACCAAGGCTGATTTCGAGCTTAACCGTAACAACAGTAAATGCTTTTGCTGCAACAATTCCCTTCAGTCTGTACAGGTGGAAGATGATGGTACCAGGAAGCACTCGTCCAATGATCTGGGACTCGAAGAGGCTCATCAGCAAAGACGGGATGCAAGATCCACCGGAGATACAAAATTTTAAAGAACTGACTTAAATTTGCTTAATTCATCGACCACTTGGCGGGTGTTATCACTGTCCAGTACAAGAAACCCGAAATAACAACTTCTAGTGCGTCATCTACCGGCGTGATTCAAAGAGGATCATGGAATTCAATATGTATTATAACATAGGTAGTAAATTTGTCTAATCAAATTCAATTGCGCGAGCAAAATATAGTGGCTTGAGAGTAGTGTCATTTCCAATTTCAAGTGTCGTCTCGAAGTGTTTATTTAACCATCACTGGCTACTTAGTATCGGTTTTACTTAAGTTCAGTATGTAATGTCATATATCTGACTTGTCTTTGTGGCTACCCCATCTAGTTAAAACTGAAAGCTTCATCCGTTAAAAACTTGTCAAAATGTTGTTTTTAGAAATGCTTTTTTTGCATGTCGAGTATTAAACTGTAATGTCCCTCTCACTATAGGATTTGAATTATTATGTTGTGGCGTGGACCAATGGCTAACAAAAATTTACTTTGATATACTTGAGTAATTATAAATGCAGCAACATAAGCGAAGATATGAACTAAAAAAGTCTATATCTGATTTCTGTAGTTCTCTCCTTTATTTGGTGAGTGGTTCTTTTCAGAGCTAGGTGTAAATAAAATATACAAATGAATAAATAGATATGTAAGTATTAATTCGCCGGATCTTGCTCTTTGTCGCCAAGAGTGTACTAAACCTCTTCGTCGTTTGTCTGACATCATCCTCTTTGAGTTAATCAATTAATTAATTCATCTTTCGCAACCATTCCGGCCTGGTTGCTATGTAAGTCTAACGACTAAAATGGTTTATTGATAAGCGGCTTCGTAATTTCATAATGTAGCAGCAGTCATCTAAGTCTTGAACAAGCTTAAATATACAGCAGCATTGCAGGTCTGTATTTTTGGTTCATTTCCAATTTTTTGTCCAAAGCAATATTGTGTCCTTTTGGTAGAGTAAGTTCTATCACCGTTACCAGCGATACTTAAGTCAGAATTTCCCGTAATTCAGTCGTTTAAAATATATATGTTTACCTGATATGTAGAAGTTTTAAATTTTCATTATGAACTGCTACGTAGTCTTGTGTATCTTAACATATTTGTGTAACTTTAATGATTATTGCCCTGTGTGTTGTCAAATGCAGTGAATTCAAAGAGCTCGTGCCTCTAATGAAGTGTAGCTGTGGGTTGTAAATCGCACCAAATTATTACTAACCTGCTTACTATGCCTATGAGTCATCATAGCTTTTTATTTTTTCGAAGATTTATTTTTGTCTTGGCTACCATTATATACTGTATCGGTTGAAATAGAGAAATCTGTCTTCGATATACGTGCAGCTGTTGGCGGTTCTCATGGCGAAGTCGTATTAGCCGCCTGCTATAGCTAATTCGTTACCCAGCTATTATTCCTTTTCCCATAGAGTCATAAAGATGGAGATATATTTCGACTTCATTACGTCGTGCTGAATACGTCGATTGTAGAAAAACACAGTAATCAGATACAACTGTAAATTTCGATAAAACAGACGCGAATCTGGGACTACCCACATGACAATTTAAAACAGTTTGTTAGTAAAGGTAACATAACTTATTTCTTTCGGTTTCCTTCATCATTCATATCTTTAAACTAAACTGATGTTCACTTACATGCATTTTATATCAACACAAAGGATTAAAATGCAGAGGAAAACAAAAAAAAAAAGCAAACAAACAATAAAAGCGCAAGAGTTCAATATGAATGCAAATAGCCTTGAAATCTACATAATTATTTTAGTAGTAATTTGCTCTAAACCTTAAAAACAAAACAACAAAATCAAAGGAGGATTGCAACGATTGCATTTTCACTTACAATATATATGTAGCTGTTCTTTGATATCTCCAACAGTTGTTGCGCAAAATACGTTTCAACATAACTAAGAATCTTCAGCTAAGGCTGAGTCAACTAAGAAATGAGCAGGTGGAAACACATTGACTGAATTTTCATGACAATCTTCAATTATTCATCACTCGACAAATAATTATAGATAAACCTAAACCCAAAGGCGCTATTTCTTGAAAGTGTCGCTGATACAAGACGTAATGTTTAAATTACCTGGTTGATAGAAAATTTGGTTACCCATGAAGAATGCACCGGGAGCACAAAGTCTCTGATCTGTGGGCGGTTAACATAAATGCTAAAGGGCGCAATATTATAACCTTTAGATTGCGAATATTCATGAGAATAAAGAATATGAGTAAGGGAGGAAACTTTTAAGCCTCGTTAGGAAAAAAAAGGAAGGGAAAAAGGTCTCACAGAAAAAAAATAAAATTCAATATTTGGCTTTTTTTCAGAGTCGATAAATGAATTCTTTACTGGGAAAGGTTTTACTGAGGTTGTCAATATACTATGGTTATACATTAGCCGTTGCTTGGGTCTTCACCCATATCGAGCGCCAGGATGAATCAGTCCATGACAGAAAGGATAGGATGTTGAAGGATCTAAGAACAGACATGCAGAATAAATACAACATGACAGAATATGAGTTCATGAATTTTTCAAGAAGAGCCAAAGAAGTCTTTTCGGTTGGGGATGAAATAGACTGGACTTTTCCAATCAGCTTTATGTTCGTGGCAACAACTCTATCGACAGTAGGTAATTGTACAAAGATAACCTTGAATAAATGTTCTGACTAAAAAATGACATGATACGACTCTATGAGCGAGGTCGGCTCAAAAAGAGAATGGAGAGCTCGGATTTCAAATAGACCTCTTCAGTCTGCAGGATTGTTTACCAATATCCGGTCTGAACAGTATTCTCAACTTTACTTTTTGTTAATTTTGTGTACATGTGCATGTGAACACGTTTTGTAAGAAATAGTTTTCTTAGTTATTATCACATGAAGTAAAATGGGTAAACAAAACATTCAAGCTACAAGTGTAAAGAGGTACGCCGGTCTATTTCTATAACCATGTGGACTGCTGCAAAATCATGTCTAAGTTTAGATCTTATCGTGTCAGCAAGAATAAGAAAAATATCGAAAATAGGATTATATCTTCGATCAAGGAAGAAGGAGGATAAACAGAGAATTAGCAAAAAGCCAAGGCATAACGTAAAAATAAAACGATTTAAAAACCAAACTAAAAACTAACAACGTACAAATATAAAGCTAACCCTGTTGAAGTCCTAAATGTAATAACTGTCCTAAATGTAATAAAGTCCTAAATGTAATAACATTTGGTCCTAAATGTAATAAAGTCCTAAATGTAATAACATTTAGTCCTAAATGTAATAAGCCTCCAATGCAATCGTTTGACTCCTACAGTGCATTGTTGTCATGGCGGACATCCACATTGATTGTAAGTGACAGCTGTTACACCAAAAAAACCGCTGACCAGTTTACATGTCACATTGTGGGCTCACTGATATCAATCAGCGTCTTTTTACTTGCTAGAAATATCAGCAGTCGAAGTATGGTCCTTAAAGCGGTTTATCGATCGAGTTGAAGGAAATCATTTCCAGCCCAAAGTGGGCTAGTACTTGGCTGGAAGCTCAATAGGATGGAATCGATTGGTACGTAACCATTAAGACTTTTTGGAAAAGAAATTGACTACAATTGATGATGAACTAGCATGCTGTTGTTGATGTTATCGTTCGTGTTAAAGTCTTTAGTAGTGATGCACCATTTTAGAGCAGTTTGAATGATTTCGCTGTGTCACATGTTAATCCAAAAGAAAATTTTTATTATCAGTAGCGTTATTGAAATTTTGCACATCAATGTTATTCAGTGTCGATTGATTCTGATGAAGCATTTGAGTTCATTTTTAAGAATGACTATCCTGATTTATTCAATTTTGAACTTGGGGTATTGCATTTCCAGCCCTCTATGGCTTTACTCCACCTCAGTAATCAGTTCATGTACCATATGACTATTAGTGGAAACTGTTGAGCTTTCTTTTTTCATTCATCTATTTATCTATTCATTTTCTCCCCTCACGGCGGGGAGAAGAGGTGAAGACAACAAATGAAATATAAACTTGAGATCAACTGTAAAATATATGTTTTCCTAATATTTCGGTTCGCGGAACTGATGAACCCGTCATAAGGGGCTAAAGGAAAAAAAATGAATGGTTCATTAGACCGTCAACTGACCATCATGTGTTGATTGGTGTAGCTCAATGGTTCAATTTGACTCTTGCGTGGAGGTAACATGTCAAGACCTGTGATCGTGAAATGGGATAGCATATGATTGGTCAGTCGATATCTTGCTCTGCAAGTCACTTTATCAAATAGCTAGCAGCGCACGTGGGCAAGATGAAGTGAATCTTGTGTTCTGATTGGCTACCTGAGCGGGCATGATGGGCCCACCCTCGCCCGCTCGGGATACCCCGTATTGATCCCACACAAGAAAACTTACAAAGTTCGTAACTTTTGGACAATGTTTGCATATACATAGAAAAAAATAAACGACCATCTTGGGTTTATTGTACTGTAAACACAGTTGGCTTTCACTATTGGCTCTCGAAATAAACAGGCCATTCTTGATTCTTATCAAAGCGAAATCTTTTGCTATACAATGAATCCTTTAATGATTAAGCCAAGAGAATATAAACTCTCTTGACCAAGCTTGTATGGTCAAGATTACTGGATATTAGCCTCGTTCTTTTTCTACTTTTTTTTTATGGACCGTGACCTCGTCTCCGTCCATAAAAAAAAAAAAAAAAAAAAAAAGAACTCAGCCAATATATAGCCATTTTGACCTCACGCTTGGTCAATAACGCATATGAATATATTTTATGCAGACCCCTACAAATCTGTCAAGGGAAGACAGTACAAAGAATGCCCTTCTGAGCCCAGAATTTGTCTAACCTATGAGTCGGTGGACTTCTTTTTCCTTGTAATTCGGTTCATCAAGTGTTAACTTCAGCACTGATGACAGAAGTATTTCTTCAAAATCTGTTACACTTAAGAGTCTGAGCCAATGATATAGAGAGAGCTATAATTGCTCCGTTCTCGTCCGTCAATTTGATGCCAAAAGCACATCAGCATCAGTATAAGGTTTTGTAGCCAATGCTTCTCAACCTACCTCTTTAACAAATAAAAAGACGCTGATTAATATCAGTGAGCCCGCAATATTCCATAGATATTGGTCAGAGGATTCTTTAGCGCAACAGCTGTCACTTTAACATTTCAATGTTAGCGCAGTTAAACGATTGCATAGGAGGCTTATTACATTTAGGACCGAACGTTATTACATTTAGGGCTTTATTACATTTAGGACCAAATGTTATTACATTTAGGACTTTATTACATTTAGGACAGTTATTACATTTAGGACTTCAACAAACCCCAGGTAACAGTGATGCGTGATTCTCCTCGCTTTCTCTTTGATATTTCTCTATTTATTCATTCATTTATATTTTACATTATTCACTTAACTGTGGTTGCTTGATTTTATGTAGGATATGGAAATATAACACCTAAAACGCGTCTTGGGCAACTGATAACCATAATAGTTTGTATTCTTGGTATTCCTTTGTGCATGCTGACCTTTAAAACTACGGGAGAACTTGTTGCTTCTTGTCTTCGGTTCCTTGTTATCAAAGCTGAAAAAGTTATCCTAAAGAGAGAGGAATCAAAACATATTAAGAAAAAAACGTTTCTTGCGACGTGTGTTTTGATGTTAACACTCCTCGCATTTGCGGCCACGTTATCTACCTTCCAAGAGCAATGGTGTTTCACAGAGGGTTTATACGCCTGGTTCATTACTTTCACAACAATTGGTTTCGGAGACTATGTACCATTTCAGAAAAAAGTTCACCAAGAAAAATATTGGGAAAACAGCTTCATTGTTGACACTATCATCGTTGGTTTACCTTTAATTTTTGGACTGAGCATCATGTCCTGTCTCTTAAACTGTGTCGCCGACTCTCTGGGTGAAATACGAAGTTTTCGTAATCGCTGTTGGGAGTTCTGCTCAAGGATAGTTTGCGGTCGATGTGTAAGCTATGTTGTTACACCAGAACAGCGCAATCGAGATGCTGGATCAGTTTTTGAAAACCAGTCAACTAGACTTTAGTTAAAATTCTGACTATGGTTTTAACAATTGAAACGTACTTGGTGAAAGATTGTTCAGGCTGGTTATATGACACGTGACCCAGGTCATCTTAAAACTTTAACGCTGTTTCTTACTAAGGATATCTTGGAGATAAGTCTATATGCTGTTATTACACTGCCTATTAAGTAAATGATCCAATAAACTAGGAAAGCGAATATTTGTATCAAACACCAGTTAGGTTTGAAAGTCGTTTGGTAGCAATTTAAATTCAGCATACAAAGAAAATAATCTTGATTAACTATTCAAACCTGTAAATTTTGTAGCCTATATTCTAGTTTTGCGTGCGGTTATCTTTTATTTTGATATAAAACTGGATTTCTTAAATTCTCACCTTAGTCGAGGCCAAGTTTCAGACTAGGATACTTCCTATAGCTGGAGAACAGCAAAACTAATTCTTCAGTAGACTTAAAACATATTTCATTCATTTTAATCTATTAAAAATAAAACGTGGAAACTTTTCTCAATTGTTTATGCAGCCTCAAGAAAATTGAAAATGTGTAAGTTTCACCTGCCTGTACTCGCAGCACAACATTCTTTTGGCGGACTAATATCTCGTTTCAGTGAGCGTGCAAATTATGTGTTTGTGGACACTGAACTATCTATTAACTTGTTTTTTTTCGATGAATTTAAACACTGAACTATCTGATGATGAACTGATGACACTGAACTATCTATTAACTTGTTTTTTTTCAATGAATTTAAACACATATCTGAATTTTCTACTGATACCATCAACAGCGATGTTTATCTGTTCGAGACTTCTCAAATGACAGTGATCTGGTAATGAACACAATGTAATAATGATTTGCATTTGAAACAAACAATCTGCTTCGTTCTGCAAAACACGAAGTCATTGTTTTTCTCTGCGTGACAATAATATCTCGTGCTGGTCAGTGTTTTAGTTTCTACATGCCCGTCTTAGCTAAGTTAAAGAAAAAATGAGGATACCTTTAAATTTTATTGTGGACGTTTCTGTTTAAGTTTTATTAAGACAAAAGCGCGTCGCAACAGGGATAGGAACTTTCCTTACCTAGAAGCGTTAGCAGGTTCTGTAGTGCGTGTGTCTCGACCTGCTTTTTTGTTTGTATGACCGAGTTTTCTGACTGTCTTTGATCTAGACATGATATGGATGACATGGTATGGAAGGTATGATTTGGAGGAGATGTTATGGATATTCAGCAAGCCCCCTGCTAGTAAATTTCTGAATGTTTTCGAAGATTTTCAACTCCTGGGCACTGTTTGTTGATTTGTTATGTAAACGTGTTCGGGCATGTTGATGTATGAGTTCAAATAATCACATGTACGGTCGATTAATAGAGCGAAGTTCATGCCCCTTCCTCTTGGATGAAAGAAATAGAAGAAACCGCCTTGCGGAGTAGCACGTCAACGCTGTAATGTCCAACACGATCCTATGTTCACAGCTTTATTTTTTTTTCCCATCACTATTGTAAACATGTTCTCTCCATTTATAGATTATTTATCCATTACTTCGAAAGACATTGCTGCGTTTTGCAGTAATCTATGCATATGCGAGTTTCATGCTTGGATTTTTACCATTATCGAGCAAAGAAGCGAGTTAGCTAACAACGGAATGGAAAGGATGTTGAAAGATCTGAAGGCAGACATTGAGATTAAGTTTAATATCACTGACAACGAATTTGACAGCTTTGTGAGGAGAGCTGCTGTCGCCATGACAACAGAAGACGAAAAGGATTGGAATTTCTGGAATAGCCTCGACTTTGTTTTCACAGCCATCACAACAATAGGTAAAGTAACTGAGATCATTCATCGAGGGAAAGGATAACAGAAATCTGTTCAGGGCTCTAGAAACGAATAAGCAGTTTTAATCTCCTCTAAAAGTGTAATGTAAAGAACGGACAAGCACATCATTTTTACCCGATTACGGTGGGACCGAATTGAAGAGGGCGAGAGGGGTAGGGTGCTAGGGCCTCTTACGGAGAGGATCGATAACGTAATGCTCCAATGCACTATCTAAAGTTCGTCTTACCTTCGAAGTTGAGCCCTAGGCCTTTCTACATTACGTTTTCTGGGCTCAGTAAATACATATGTAAATGTTCGTTTGTTTGACAGGGTATGGAAAAATAACTCCTAAAACAAGTCTTGGCCAAGGAATTACCATCGCAATCTGTCTTTTCAGAATTCCTATTAGCATGTTTGCCTTCAAAACCGCTGGAGAACTGGTTGCTTCTTTGCTTCGGTACACGCTTATCAAAACAGAAACTGTTTTGCTTAAGAGGTGAACCGAAACATATCAAGAAGAAAACGTTCCTTGCTGCGAGTTTATTAGCAGTTGCCCTTCACATATTGTGTGCCGCGTCGGCCACTTACTCAGAGGGATGGAGTTTTATGACCAGCTTATACGCCTGGTTTACTACCTTTACAACAATTGGTTTTGGAGGCTATGTTCCCTTTGAGGCACTTCAAAGAAAGCTGGATCAAGGGGAAGTCTTTGCAGATGGCGTAATTGTCCCAGGCCTGGCCCTAACTTTGCCATGGATGGTTAGGTTTGGTGTCACCTCCTGCCTTTTGAACTGTATTGTTGACTCTTTAGATGACATAAGGGACTTTCGTAATCTTTATTTTAGCTGTTCGTCAAGTTTAGTTACTAATATGAAAACACTACTTTGTGGAAGGAGCGAAAATTATAATACGACAGAAGGTCGTTATCAATCGTTCTATGAAAATAATCAGGTAGCTTCCCTGTAGCGCTCACAATTGTATGTCTATCGCAACTCTTTCAAATGCTGCTGATGCTGATCACACTTAAGTGCTCCTCTCGCTAAGAGTGGTCCTCTCGATTTCCCGTCGGAAAAAAATTTTTTTTTTTGCCAATGAAAAGGGTTTAGGACACATGTTTCAAAAATAGTTTAGTTATTCTCCAATTCTCTTTTTTTGCGTCGCCACAAGCTAAAAATGATTTTTGGCCAGACCACCCCTGTGGACAGCGATAGAAAGTGTAAATGTCACAGATTTTGTCCAGCACGCAGCGACTGCAATAATATAGCTCACGGAAATCTTGCTACAAGTTACAAGTTGTATTCAGTTAGTTCACAGACAAAATATGGAAACTTCAGCCGAAACATTTTTCGTACCAGCGTGATCAGAGGAGACCTTTCTCTTCGACCTTGATTTGCATGTCAAAAATTCCCTAATTTGTACGAAAGAATTCTCAAAATGCAGGCGTTAATCGGGCTGAAAAAAGCATATCAGTACAAAGTTTATTTACTAATGAGGTCGCGGATTGCCTCGAACCCGCGGGAATATCTCTAGCTTCCACCCACTAACATCTTAAAAACAACGCAAATCCATGTGTTTGCTCAATCGCGCTCGCGTCGAAGATCATTTGCATGAATCTGAAAATTGACTTAGATCTCCTTTTGACCGTTCAAACTTCGTTCGTTTATCTTCTACGTTGAGGATCTTAGGTTTTCTTAATAACTGAATGAAGAATAGATGCCGAGTTGTCCCAAAACGGTGCGTAAACGTGATCGGTCGCAACGCTTTGCGCTTGCGTGACTAACAAAGTAAACAAAGGTGATCGGAAGGCGCCTTCTCGATCGATTCATTTTTAGTAAGAGCAGTTACTTCGTTCTTGTCCAGAAACTGTTTTATTTTATTCAAATAGAAAACCAGACTAAGTTATTTTTGCGACTGGACGTAATAGTCTCCAATATTGTTATGGCGTTTCGTATCAATATTGATTCGCATTAGGAAGAAGAAGCAACAATTTATTGTAACAATTTCAATAGTTTGAACGCAGTAGTTTGTTCGCATCTAATTCTTGCGTATACTGTACGTCTCGCTATAATAAATGCGGAAGAATTGGAACGAAATGTCTGTTTTTCTTTTCTTTACCTTAACTGAGGAATGTTGTGTTGTGATTGAAAAGAACATCGAAAAGAAGCTTGCAATTAGAATTACTTACCAATATGATACGAATGATGCTTAAAAGGAAAGTTTGGTAGGGGGTTCAGATCTGCGAAGGGGGGTCCATATCCGCAAGCGGATGTGCACCGGGGATCCAAATCCACGGGGGGTCCCAATCCGCTGTGATACATGCATCAGGGCTGAAATAGCCGCAGCCATTACAATCTTTGCTTTCTATGAATCAAGTAAACATTTTAGAAGTTAAAATTCTCATTAAATTGTAAAATTCTTCAGTCCATCTTCATAACTTTCGATTCTAATTTGTTACATAAACTAATTTTGGTTTCAATATGTAGAACCCGCGAAACAGGTCATAAGACATGGGGAAAAATTTGCAAAATCACGTCACGCAATACATCAAGCTGGGTTTGTCCGGTTGATTTTGATGGTCGCAGGAAAATGTCGACTTTGTCGCTCAAAGCCGTTGTGGTCCATAACAGCGTGACATCATTCATGATGGAAACAAATTTGCGGAAAGGAGGGCTAGTTCATCAGGTTCCGTGTTCTAAATCTCGGGAGAAACTGCAAGAATTTTGTCTTTATAGACAACGAAAACTTAAGATCCTCAACGTAGAAGACGAACGAAGTCTGAACGGTCAAAAGGAGATCTTAGTCAATTTCAGAATGATGCAAATATATATATATATATATATATATATATATATATATATATATATATTTATGTATATTTATATGAGAAAAACATTATAGACTTCCAAAGGCACCATTTCATATACTTTGGTTGTAAACGTTTACTATATATATATAGGGACGCAGTTAAGATAATTAATCTTCCTGTTGAAATAGTCAGCTCACTTCCAAATATTTCATATTTACAGACTTTTCGACAACAGAGCGCCACGAAGTCAGCTCAGTGTCAGGTGAATGTCTAAGGGTTTTTACCAGAGCAAGTTAACCCCCTACTACTTTTGCGAGTTCGCCACCTGCACTAAAACAAGTTCTCTCGAAAAATCTTCCGACTCGTTTCCTCACAGCAGAATCAATTCTATTAAAATCATTATTTATTTCGATCAACTTGAAATTTCATTGGAAAGCAGCTGAAATTTCACTGCAATCAGCCAGTTTGCAAGTTCGATGAAACTGCAAACTGGCTGATTGACTTGTGACAACTACTTTTCTTAGTAAAAAGAAACCTGGTGAAAGTTAATATCCTTTAGTATCTGTGAAAGTTAAGCTGGAGGTTAAATCATTTTTTATAGCTAGTTTGTTTGTTTTCGAGCCAGTTTGTTTACAACACTATGGCTCCTATTCACTCGGAGTGTTTTGTCTCCACGCCAGTCGGGGGCCTAATTAATCATTGATGAAAGAGTTATTTAAAATTAAAAGAGGGCAACGATGTAAGCATTGTATAAAAAAGTATTTAAAAAGTAAAATAAAGTTACTCGAATATAACTACCTTATACGATTTAAGAAACTGTTTCTTGGTTTGATCGTGAGCTACGACTAACACAAATGGAATCTTTTTTAAATGACTGTTGATTTCCGAATTGTGATTGGTTGATTTTTTTCAACTGGGTCCGGTGACAAAAGTGACACTGCAATATAAAAGTTATTTCTGGCCTTTTCTTCAGCTTTCATGCGAAAGACGTTCTATTGAAAAAACGATCATAAAAAATAATAACAATAAAAGTTTTTTTTTTTTTTTTTTTTTAATAGAATATCACCGGCATTCTCCTCTTTAGGAGTACAATACATCGAGTTTGGCAGATAACAACGACCTACCAGTCCGCATAAATTGAAATACTAGGACCACAATACTATTGATAAACAGAATGTAATTGTGGATATGCAAACTTCTTTTAGCAGGTGGACAAAAATTCATATGTCAACTTTACAATCATTATTCAAAACGTTGTCTACCTGGGTAAAAATAGTCTTACTGTTATGTAAATTTATATATTAATTTGTCGCTTATTTTGACGTTCTTGACAAGGGAAGTATTGCAGTGTCTCTGTAACCGCAGGATACTCAGTGGATGATAAGCCATGAATTAGGCAATGTGGCATAATTACGGTAAGTTTAGAGCGCAAGAAATTTTCTTTTTTGCCGTTTGGAAAACAGTAGATATTTTCTCTCAAACAAGAAGGCACCTTAAGGAAGCAGGTTTGAAAACAACTGTAGAATTTCCATGTGACTCTTTATCATTTGTTTGATAGAACTTCACATCTTGATGATGTTAATGCCATTACTTAAGAAGGTTGTTGTCAAACTCCCTTACAAGAAAATTAGAATTGTAAATCTATGAATGTGTATTTTAAATGTGATATGCACAAAGTTTAAAAGTGCAGTTATAAAATCGAAAGCTAGGTGTCCTACACCAGTTTAAACAACGGATCTATACCTAACTCGCGCATTTTACGATACTATCTCAAATATCATAATTGATGGTTTTGATGTTGTAGTAATAACAACGCGTTGAACTTGTTATTCTCAGAGTATTTTGACAGAAAACATGCATCCTCTTCTCCGAAAAGCTCTGTTACGCGTTGTACTCTTCTACGGATACGGTTTGCTGGTTGCCTGGATTTTCACACTGATTGAAAGTCAAGAGGAGACAAGACAACTCAAAATGAAAAGAATCTTTCAGGAACTGAGAACGGAAATTACTCTTAAATATAAGGTCAATATGTCAGATATAGACTTTGAGAGTTTTGTAAGAAAAGCATCTACAGGGGTGACAGCTGGAGAGGAACTTGACTGGACTTTCCTGAACAGTTGCGCCTACGTTTTTGCAGCTCTTACGACAATAGGTAAGTTATACAGTTAGAATTCGAACTTGACCTTTTTACTAGCCAGCCTCTCATATTTGGTAAAGGCTGCCATAAGGGTAATTCAGCCTTGGACTCATTACAGAGAAAACAAATTGCTATCATTACGTATACCAAATTAATCCTGAAACGGTCTTTGTGGCAACCTCATATCATGCATTCTTTTTAATTATTATATTCCCCTAAATTTCCAAAATAAACAAGGGCTGTCAAGGTGTTGAACATTTACTTTCAAACTTTTTTGGGAGTTTCACAATATAATTGCACACATTCTTTAGCCATAGAGTACTTGGTTAAGAATCTACTCAGCCTGATTTCTTAAAAGTTGTAGAGAAGACCATTTAAGGCTGTCGTATAAAATCATGGTTTTTCTACATTACGCGGTTCGCCCTTTCTTTAAAGGTATTCCTTGTCTATTCAATGTTGGCATGATATTTATTATTCCATTTGTTAGGTTACGGACATATCACGCCTAAGACATCCCTTGGGCAAGGAGTAACCATCATCACCTGCCTGCTTGGTATTCCTATCGCTATGTTGGCATTTAAAACATTGGGAGAGCTGTGCGCAACGTTCTTTACGTTTCTTGTAATCAAGACAGAGACCATTGCACTCAGAAGGACTGAACTAAAACACTTGAAAAAGAAAACGTTTTTTGTGGCATGCTTACTTTTGATTGTTTTGATAACACTGGCTAGCGTTTCAACAATTTTTCTCGAACATTGGACCTTCATGGAAGGCTTGTACGCGTGGTTTACAACATTCACCACGATTGGTTTCGGAGACTACGTGCTGTTTAGATCGTATTCCATAAAGTTAGCTCAGGGAGATATCTCCACAACGAGTTTATTGCTTAAAGGCCTAACCTTTGCTGTACCATATATCGTTGGTCTCAGCCTCATGTCATGTATTTTGACCTGTCTTGTGGACTCTGTGGATCAAATTCGCCATTTTCGTGATCGTTGCTGGAGTTGCTGTCCAAGTTTGATTTTCCATGTAAAACGCGTCTTCTGTTATGTTTCGCAAGGTGATATATCTGAAGGACGAAATCATGAAGAAAATGAATCATGCCATGTGTAACACAATTTCCGCCCTCATTAACTCTTTATTACCAATCAAAAACTTCTTTCTTTGGTGATCATTTCTTTTATTCTCATGACCTTAGCGTGTAATTCAGGGATGACATTGTAGAGATGAAAACAGTATATTATTAAGTTTACTCCTTGTGGTTTACTCCTTGTGGTTAAGAATATATGAAAGTCATTTACTCCTTGTGTCGAAAATTCCATAATCAAGTAAAGGTGCTTACCAATAAACAAAATAAAATCACTTGAAATTAGCCAAGAAAACAAATGAAAAAAACAACCCAGGAGGTTGCGAAAGGTAAGGGTAGATGTATACAACAAAGACCCCTAATGGAATTATTTGTGGCATTCAAAGGCATTTAGATGGAACTGTGGGAAACAGAGTACTAAATCATTTAGATGCTTTGGATAAAGAGTAAGAGAGGAGACATTATTTTATATATTCAGTGCAACATACTATTGTCGAAGACGACTACATTAGGAAAATTAATCTTTTTTAATCTTCCTATATTTTATTGTAGATTTGTCATTTTCCGTCGTTGTCTTGATGCAGAGATAAAGGATAGCACACGGCTAGATTTGAATTTGCAAATAAAGAAAGGAGATAAGGAGGCTGTTAGAGCGTAACAGTGTAAAAGCGTAATTCTACTCTGTTACTCTCACAAGTAACCATACTTCAGATATCAATGCGACCACGAAACAATGTAATTTGGCATTGGGTTTTTCCAAGAGGTCATTTCGAGCATTTGTCTATTCTATTTCAGATTTTCCCATGAATGCCTAGGACTGGAAAATTTATTGAGATTTTTTTCTTAGCTTTGCTTTGTTTGTTAATTTGATGCCTTCTTAGGCAAACCGGTTGTACAGAATGTCAGGCGACCGATCCCTATGTCATCGACAGCGATACGACTCACCTTTGTAGCTACATTTCTTCTCAAATTCATTACAAAGAACGTTTCCCTTCAACCATTTCTGTTTTTTTCCCTACCCAGACCTATTTAACATTACATTATGCCCTGTCAGCCCTGTGCTCAAGCTGCGCTCCTTTCGTTGGTCGTGACCGAAAGCGAAATATATTCCCAGCCAGCCCCACCATCAATAAGAACATAATTATGATGTTAGCGATTGAGAGTAAAACGTAACGCCTGCATTTCAGTTGATTTTATCTGCCTTCACAATTGCAAGATCATCATTCACTTTAAATAAAATCCCGGAATACATTTAAACTTGAAAATAATTACTGTTATCGTTCAGAAACGATTTTCGAGACCTTTTCAATACGCCTTGTTTAGAGTGATCTCTTTATTTATACCAGATTTTATTACACTTAAGTAAAGTAATCACTAAAATAATCCAAATTTACTTTGGTGTTGCTTATCTTTGCTCTGTGATTAGTCTGAACCAATCACAGAGCAAAGAGATTGCTGTTGTATATAGTTAATTATTCTATATCGTATAACTCAGGGCGGGGATGGTGAGAACGTTCGCCTTCCACCGTTGTGGCCCGGGTTCGAATTCGGTACCTAAAGTCACATACTGTTAAATTATCGCTATTTATTGGTATTTTTCAATATTATTGCTATTATTATACAGCAATTCCAGTGATCTTACATATAGTCAATAACTGGAAAGTTCACGGACTTAAATCCGTGCCATGAGCATTTTCAATATATTCACGATCAGAGATAAATTCTTAGCCATTTGATAATCCTCTACGAGCAAAGTGTAATTTGGATCGGCTTAGACCGATCGGATGGCGTTTGACCATATTGTTATTGCTATTGTAGTTTTCATAGTGACTGTTATTAACATTGTTATCGTTGTTATCACTATTATCATCGTTTACTCTCCCTTTGTTTGGACCACGACTTCATCTCCAGTCATTAACCTCTTCCCTAGTCATCTATGAATGCGTCTCTAGCGAAATCTCTGACTTACAGTAATAGGTCAAATTCAGCATAGAATGTAGGTCTAATTTTCAGGAGTTAGGCATATTCATCCCTTTAAATCTTAAGCAGTCAGAATTACTACGGTTAGGGAAACGTCGATTAACAAATAAACTGAACATTTCCAAAAGTATTTTTTAAGGATGGCTGGATGTGTATACCTTCTTTTGCTGCGCCAGACTTCAACTTCAGCTTAACGCATCTGGCGTTAAGTTCCTAATGGATACTGAAAGATTCGTTGACGGGGCTTCTGTCCTCAGACCATGCATGGATAGCTTGTTGACTTCACAATGCTGTTTTGCAGATGATGGCTGAGTTATTGATCCCCTTATCGAATCTTTTGGTTAATAACGTTCTCGTTGCCGTCTCCGTCTTTGTTTATTTCATTTCTCTTTCTTAGTCAATTTTCAGAAAATTTGAGAGAATCATAATCCCTTCTATTATTCAGCCACCAACTTCTGAATTACTCGTTAGGGTGACGAGAAGGGAAAAAATTGATTCTATGTATATGAACATTCAACCTCCGACCCCCATCCTAAGAATTATTTAATGCGCGTAATAAGTTAGGTTGTTATCTGAGAAAGCGCATTTCGTTGTTCAATTCAATTGCCATGAAAAACGAGAAATCACATGATGGCCGTTGCTATTGGCTAAAATAATCCACTCGCGCGGATGATCGTGGTAAGATTAGTAATTATTGGAAGGTCAGGGGGTTAAAATTTAATATCATGGGTACGAGATTAATTCAAAAACTTTTTTGGCGATTCCACTAATTCCAGGCAGAAATTACTTGATTTTGGCACTCAACCTGATTTTCCTTCTTGCAGCAGAGCTTGTGTCTTATGCTTGAGTGTAAGTGTACGCAGCTATCTATACAGCCATCACGAAAGTGGCGAATCTGATCCATGGAATCCACAATGCAACCCAAAATACATGACATACAACTCAGGCCAATCATGGTTGGAAGGTACAGTACGCAGATGTATATCACAAGATGAACTGTATTGTCTATCCCTCGTCCCATGCCCCTTAGAAGCGCTTCACAATGGACGTAGTCGCCGAATCCAATTGTGGTGAAAGTGGCAAACCACGCATAGAAGCTCTCCACGTAATTCCACTTTTCCATGAAAGCGCCTGTGAAACTTGTAAAGATATACAAAGCAAACATAAGGGTGCATGATGCCACGAGTTTTTTTATCTTTAGATTCATTACCTCTTCCCTTTTAAGCAGATTATTTTCTATCTTTATGACGAGATGGCGAATAGAAGAAGCAAAAAGCTCTCCTGAAGTTTTAAAGGCCAACATGGTGATGAGAATACCAAGGAGGCACACAGGAATTGTGATACCTTTGCCAAGCTCTGTTTTAGGTGTTATGATACCATATCCTGAAATAAAAAGAATGAATAATTTTTGCTCCACTCCACATTACTTTACATTTAAGATTTTTACAGAGGTTAGAAGGAAATCCCAAAAAACTCAGGGGCGAAAACCAAAAACAAAGCAAAACAAAAACAAAAACAAACGAAAATACAAACAGATAAGGTCCCCTTAACGGTTAGAACTTACAATAAAAAAGAAGTGGATATACTCATTGCCCAAATAGACAAGCGTTAATTAACATTGTACACGGCATGAAGTGACCCTTTTCTCTTACCTATTGTGGTGAAAGTGGTCAAGGCGAATGTGAGGCTGTTAAGCAAAGTCCAGTCCAGTTCATCACCCTCAATCACAGCCGCAGCTGCACGATTTACAAAACTATTAAAGTCGTCGTCGGTTATATTATATTTCTTATTCATATCATTCTTGAGTTTACTCAGCGACTCCTCCATTCTTTTGAAAGCAGGTTCATCTCTTTTTTCAATCATGGTGAAAATCCAAGCAATTAGAATGGCGTACGCGTGGAGGAATCCAAAACGCAGTAATGATTTCTTTAGAAGTGGATGCATATTTCTTCAAAGAGAAACGAGAACATCAAATTAAATCTTTGCTTGAACAATTACAAAGAGCCCGATCCAAAATAACAACAATGATAACAACAAAGAGGAGGTATGGATGTGCAAAGTTAATCTTAACTGCTATCCTTAGCTTTGTTGGTTGCGAGAGCATGTGTTAGATATGACATGCTTTCACAGCCAACGAGGCGCGTAGCGCAGAGTGAGCCTAACTAGTCTCATATTACGAAAGCGCGAATGGACCTCAGGTTGACTTCGTATGGCTTGGTTCCATGGGAATATATGCATGTAAACTGCACCCGTTAGATGTAGTTATTGAACGAAATGAGTGACTAAAAATTAGAACTATGAGTAACGACACCATTCGATGTTCGTAGGTTTAAATATGCACTGGATTTTGTGAAGTCGAGATTAATCCATGATTAATACTACTTTCGGTACATATCACACAGTGAACTAGAAAAATTTCTTATTATTTTTGTCGATAAACTGTGAAGTGGACGAAAGTTTAATTCCTATCGCCCGTTTTTGTCTCTTCGGCTGCTCGGTGGTGAATAGTATTTGCTAATGACTTACCAACAGCACACTCGAAAAACATTGTTCACTTGTGTGGTACATACTAATGTTAGATACCCGTAAATTAGTTAGTAAGCTACTGCAAACCTTGAAACAGTTGGGTGTGCAAGCCGTTTCCGAGTCACATCAATTATTCATTAGTATTTTAACTTTTGTAATCGATGGTGAACAAATTTCTTGCCTTAAGAACCTTTACATGGGTTAAATTGTGATGTAATTTGTGCGAATTTCGTATTTAGACTTTGCTAGAACAAATTAACAAAACGAGAATTCTCTACTTGAGCGTGAGAGTTCCCAAAAAAGAAAATGGCTTTTTCGCCGAATAAAGTAATCAGTTATACCAATACACTTTAGAGTGCTAGCAATTGTGGAAAGCAATAACTTCCCATTGCTTGAGTTGAATTAAGTTATTGAATTATTAAGGATGTTTTTTTTAAATCTTACCTCGTTGATTTCTTGCTGGAGCGACTTTACCGACGTAACATGCGTGGCATAGTCCGCTTTTTTTACAGTAATAACCTCTCTGTTTCTTCCAAAACATTTTAAATTTACTCTGAGCCCATTAATGATTTATAATTTTTTTTAATTCAAATGCCTGGCCTGTCATTTAAAAATACGTTTGCTTTTTATTTTCTATCAAGGCAACAACAATTGATGAAATCTTATTGAAAGTCAATTCACCAGCTGAATCTATAATGCCGAGCCAGTGATTAGATGCTGTCTATTGTTTTGAAGAAATGAAAGAAAAAGTTTTTTTGTTTTAGATAAAATTACAATTTAGGAGAATCACGAATATTTTTTTCCAATATAGATATTGAATGACTTAGCCCATCTGAAAGAGTATTCATTCTTGGGGAATATGAACTATCCATGCACTATGAGAGGTTAGAAATGGATGGATGGCCTGAAAAAGTAAAAAAAGACATCCACATCAATTTTTGTAGCTCATCATAATAACAACTTTCATAGGTGCCGAAAACAAACAATCAACCATCGCATTTTATTCACAGCTGAAAGTCACCTGTAGATGGGAGTTGCTTCAAACAAAACACCTCTGTGTGAATCATTTTCTTCGGATATCTCATATTGTTAGCGACTCCCCATTAATCTTTCTGTTTTTGTCTTTGCTTTGCTTTCGTTTTTAAAAGTCCCTTCAATTTCTGTTTTGCTTCTCGAATCAACTGTTTTTCCTGAAGATCTTGTTTTCTGCGTCGAATGACAACAGCAATTTAGTCGTTTTCCTACGCCGTCGACACTTATACCCATTCAAAACCCAATAATTCAAAGCCTATTTCTGCGAAATACTGAAAGACTATATTATTATCCTGAAATATTTAAGATTTGTCTCAAGGATTGAGCCAAAAGAAAATTATAATCGACTGAAAGTGACAAAGGATACAAATTTGGCGACGTCCAGTGCTTAACTTTTGGGTAAAACAAGCAAAATCTTTTATTCAAATTTCCCCAAAAGCAAAATTCTCTGCGGGCTGGTCTCCACTTTTTATAGGGACAATTTGCAAGCAAAGCTGAAAATCAGATATTGCATGTTTTCGCGACGTTTACATCTTACATTTTCTCATTAACAAAAGTTTCCGACAAATGAAAGCTGCATGGCTTTGAAAAATGTTCGGAGTAATATCCCGAAGAGAATTATCGTTTCTGACAACCATCTTTTAAAAACTAACTGATCAGCTCTCACGGAGAACTACTCGACGCAAATTGCGTGCATATATCATCCACATACCGAATGCTGCTCCTCTGTCAGAGGAATTTGAGAAAATCCTCCGAGGATACACAGCTGCGTGTCATTTGCAACAAGTTAAAGTTCGAAGAAATTCAGATAAAGATTTTCCCTGTTTTACTCTTCATTAAAAGTGACCGAAACTGTACCGAGATAAATAATGGATGAGTGTGTTCGCATTCATTCTCAGCAAAAATGGAATGCAGCATAGTAAAGATGAGTAATGCCACTATATATGGTAGAAGTAAGAATTTTTTAATGTTGTATTGAGCTTGAGATTTTTTTAGCGATGTTTTTGTGTGAAAAGAGGCCACAGGCCGCGAACAAGCAGCCCTAGTTATCAAGGAAACGAGAGTGCTGCAACCTCCCTGAGTGCTTAATTTCTTGCAAAATTTGAATAGGGGTTTAAAACTTTTATTTCCCGAGAGGTTTGACTCTTACAGAGGCTAGTTCTTAATGAGCATAATGATAACAACAAAAAAGGAGAAAGTCTGCTTATCCAGTGATGACCTTTAAGTTATCCGTTTGAATTGAAGGTTTTATCAAAGCTGATAAAGAATCACCCTTTTTACCATTTTTTAGGCATTTATTTCACTCGGGAGGCAGTGAATCCATTAATGCAACAGGGCACCAACACGCTGAAAGTTTTCGCTTATACCTTTCAACTTCAGTAGAGGTGATAGGGAAACGATTTTGAGAGAGTCCCATTTGCAACATATCGAGAGATAGTTTGCCTTCTTTCTTTTTTTTAGTTTTCCTTGTCCTTTATTTCTAATATCAGAAGTTTTCAGCTTCTCCTTGGATCATTTTTCTTGTTTATCGACTTGCTCTATGATATTTACACAATTCTAAAATGTCATTATTCAAACTAGTTAAATTAAATAAGATAAATTAGATTGATTTATTTCCACCCACTTTGCATCATAAAAAAATCATCTCATACACTTTAACTTATGACGGCCAAAACTAAAAAAAAAAAAAGAAACACTTTTCCAACCCTATTTCGACCTTATTTAATCATTTAGTTTCAAACCCTGCAAGATTTGAGCATGTCTAATTTAAAATAAGTTCTCTAAATATCTGTCACTAGCTTTACTTAAAACAGTATTTAACTAAATCATTTTTTAATTAAATCAGAAATAACTGATTCTGAATAGTTCCACGAAAAAGACTAATATTTGTAGTTCTTTGTCAATTTATAAGTGCGCATCAGAACTTAAGAGTGCTTTTCTCTTCAACAGTCAATCTTCTGGCACTTCTGGACTCTCTGCTGGTGAGTGTGTTTAAGTTCTTTCTTTGTAAAGTTCGTGGATGAACTTGAACCTGCCGATTTCCAAAAGATGGATAAATAAGGAAATGATATGTTAGTGAATTCACCATTTCCTTTTTTAATTCTGGCAAAAATGAGGAAAAAGGAAGAAATTAGGGACGGTTAGAAAATGGTTTAAAACTGCGAGAGGAAAGTCGCCGTTTTCCAGCTTGAGCCAAAAGATATTCTCCAATAGATGACAAAATTATACCATTTGCCTCATCAAAAAAAGAGAAAAGAAAAAAAACTAAAAGCAAAAACAACGTGGCGTCCTATGATTGCCACGTGGACTCACTGTGAGGCACTGTAATCTGCTACATGCAGTGGATCTGTTCTTGATAATAGTGTTCAGCCGATTATCAGGGAAACGTTACACAATATTAGCGTGAAGGAGGATTTTCTCACTATTTGTGTCATAGTTTTAAAGATTGGTAGTATCCTTATCAGGTTCACAAGGGAGATAAGTTTACTGATCACAGCAAAATGAATAAATGGCAACTGTTTAATACTAATAACGAGGACTCCGTTTTCTGAAATAGCGCTTTTACGAAGCTGTTTAGTTTTAAACTAAATTGATTTCCAGTGAAATTTTTTCCCTTCCAGAAGTGGCAGTCGATTCTGAAGATGGAGTTTAGAATTATTAAATGGATGATAACTCTCGTAGTATCATCAACGTAAGTACAACGTAATTTTTGACAATGTTCTTGCACTTAGTTAATAACAAAATAGTTTTTATAAATGATTTTCCCTCTAATTTGTTAGTTGATATTCCCATACAAACTTTCCTGTATCCTAATTGTTGAGACGCCCTGTTTAGAAATTACTGAGCATTTTATTCCGTTTACTTAAACTGGTTTTTAATATCGAAAAGATTAATTGTTTGTCTTAACTCAACTTTCAGGATATACGAAACAACCCACGGTTAGTAAACGTTTCTCTTCTATTTAATTACCTGAATGACGTTTGATGATTATCAGAAAAAAGGGATGTTTTTTCTTTGTTTTATATTTTATTCATTGTTTCATCAATCATTTGAAATGGTGGTGACCTAATTCCTTAAACCGTGATAAAGATATGATTTAATCAACATTTTTAAGATGACAGAAAACTATTTACAACATTTAGACTTACTAATTTGAAGGCAATTATAACTATTTGCTTATTAGAGAAAACGTTTTGACCTCCATATTAAGATAGTTTCGAGAATCAAAAATTTCCTAAACTAGAATTAAACCGAAATTTCAGTGCTTTGATGTAGTCACTGTTGAACTCGGGCGTTTATGGAAATTTCGGCAAATTATGACAAACAATAAGTTTTGAACACTTTACTAAAGTGAGTAACTAAGCCGTAATGAAGGAAGCTGACTCAGTCTATTGCTTGGAAAAGGTTGTTCAGTGCCATGAACAAAGAAAGGTTCTATTTTTTTTTCATTTCTTCTTCCTTGCATGATTCCTATCTAATTTTTTCTGATAATCGTTGCGATGACAGGACATGATTACTGCCATAGTTATCAAGTGATTAATGACAGGACTAGGGCTGCTGGTCTCGCAAGGGGCAACGTCCTTAGGTGCGATCAGCGAGATATTCCAACCGCCAGATGGTATCGTTTTACTGGAGCGGCTGGCACGCAGATGCCGACAAAGTGTGTGCCCATTAACCGTTGTGGAACCCATGCACCTGGATGGCTAAGCACATCACATCCAACTAGAACTGGGCAAATCATCAATGGCAAAGCATGCTTTCACTGGTCCGGAAACTGCTGCCGGTGGTCGGCAAATATCATGATCAAGAAATGCAATGGCTTCTACATTTATAAGCTTGGTAGAACACCATGTTGTTACCTTCGCTTTTGTGGGAATGGAGGCTTTGGTGAGTTACATCCAGTTTAAACTAAAGCAACCTACTATGCTACATTTCAAATAATTGATTAGCCATTTTTAAACAGCAAGAACTATTTATTATTATGATACATATAGATACACTTAGTTGGTCGTTATATACAACGCGAAAAGTTCAAATCCAGTTGCACTTTTGAAAGGTTTGAAAATTATATTTTTCCAAACCTTCTTGCATACCGAATGCTCAAAATCATAATGGCCCCTAAATATATTGCGAGAAAGGATGTTATTACTTAGTCACAAACGTGGCTGGAAAATAATGCAATCATAGTGATTATGAAACAAAGAAAATCGTGGACATTTCATCTAATTCTGACAGGTCAATCGTGAGTAGACCAATCGCAATCAAGTTCGAGTAGAAGAATTTATCATCGAGGCCACAAAGTGGATGTCTTTGCTGTTTCCCGTTCATTTTACTGACCATGCTGACGAATGGTTGTTATCTTAAAACGAAATAACATGCTATAAATATTTCTGGTGCTCGTGTTTCTCCAATTTCCTGGTAGGGCCCATAAGCACACTGCGCGGCGATGTCTTCCTCGGCCAATTGTAAGAATAAAATCCTTGAACATTTTAAATATATTTTTTTTTATTTATACATGGCGTTTATACTCTTCTTCAGGAGACGATGGCTGCACTAACTACTTACAGTTAAACGATAGAACCAGAGCTGCTAGTGTTCCTCGGGGAAATATCCTTAAATGTGACCAATATGACATGCCCGGGGATCCAAAGTGGTACAGATTCACTGGAGCATCAGGACAAATGATGGCCACCTCCTGTGTTCCTAAGCATTACTGTGGAACGCATGCTCCGGGTTGGTTGAGTGGAGCTCACCCAACAAGTGTGGGGCAAATTGTCAACGCCAGAGTCTGTTTTCACTGGGGAGGAAGTTGCTGCAATTGGAACACTAATATCCAGATCAAAAAATGTAACGGGTTTTACGTTTACAAACTTCACAAGACCCCTGTCTGTTGGCTTCGCTACTGTGGAAATGCAGGATTCGGTGAGTCAAAGGCGGAATATTTAAAATAGAACTTCTCAAGGTTATTTTCTGCACGTCGTCTTCATCAAATCTTCCAACTCATCTATAATCCAGACGGAGAACTATGAAACAGTAAGGAAAGAACACAAAAACTACAATATCAAGTACTTCTTATATAAGTTTATAAGACTTGCATGGAGAAGTATAAATGTCTTGTAATTGACCTAGCACTCACATTTTCTCTTTAATTAGATGTGTGCAAGGTAAGCAATCCTTGTAAGAATGGTGCCACATGTGTTCCCAAAAATGGTGGGTACACATGCAACTGCAAGTCAGGATATCATGGTGTCAACTGCGAGCACGGTAAAACCTTTAATAAATTGCAATCAAGTTCGAAAACCCCCGAGGGATATTTACCTTCACTAAAGCAAACCATTATAGTTAAATTCCCCAACTACGCCCTCGGACACAAATAAAACACAATTCCCTTTTTTGGCACAGAGAGAAGTTTATTAAGAATACGAACCAACAGTAAACAAAAGCCAATGATATGCATAATAGACTTCTCTGACACTCTATGACATCATACAAAATCACCCGGGGTGGGAGGGTGGGTGGGTGGAAAGAAATACGAAACAATACACAATCTCTGGTAAATGCTCAAAGTGAAAACTGACGCGAAGTTAAACACGAAACTCCTCGTGCTTGGTACTAGAAGGTGTGTGTTGCGCAATTCGTCCCTTTGAACACGTGCTTGTCTGTAGATGTCTTCTACAGTAGGTGCTAGCTCAATAGGAAAGAAAAACATTAGCATATATATTTCGTGGGGGAGTAAAGCTATGATGAAGTCGCTTACGCCATCACGTCTGCAACACTATTATACAACACGCACAGACAAATTTTAAACAAGATCAAAGAGAAAATTAGCAGGAAATTACCGCCAACAATTTGTATAAATTGTTAGATAGTCTCACTGTACTTGAGAAATGTCAGGCGAACAGTGTTTTTAAAAAACAATTGCACTGGTAAAAATAGCAAAGCTTTTTTCTATCATACAGATGTAAACGAATGCAACACCAGACCTTGCCGTAATGGTGGAACGTGTGAGAACTTACCAGGAAGTTACAGATGCAAGTGCAAACCAGGATTTTTAGGGAATCACTGCGAGATCGGTTAGTTGATTTTACGAATCTTGTGCAAAGTGTGTTTCTTATATAAATTTTTTAGCAATTAGCCAAAATTTCATACTGAATCTTTTCTAGATATATTTGAAAAGCTTATAGTGTGTTTGCGACCCTCGCGAAAGCAATCAATGTCGAAACAGACCTTTCCTGCAAATCTTATTTTCCGATAAATTTTCCCCACCACAAGCATATGATGAATGCAGGCATTACCAAGTTCTCAGTGACAGACAGCGAGCTGCTGGAGTTCACAGGGGCAACATCCTTAAGTGTGACCAAAGGGACCTTGTAACACCCAAATGGTACAGGTTTACCGGAGCAGCTGGCACCCAGATGCCCACGTCATGTGTTGCGAAACATTATTGCGGAACTCATGCACCGGGCTGGTTAGCGGGTTCACATCCGACAAGAGTTGGTGAAGTTGTCGACCGTAAGGTTTGTTTCCACTGGGGTTCCAATTGCTGCAACTGGAATGCCTACATTCGGATAAAGAGGTGCAACGGGTTCTACGTGTACAAGTTGGCCCGGACTCCTGTATGTTGGCTGCGGTATTGCGGGAATGCCGGTTTTGGTGAGTCATGTATAGCTCTATTCTTATACTTAGAAATGGTAACTTAACCATAGAACATTGTTTCTAGAGTAATTTTGCAAGTTTGACCTTTTATTTGACACAAACGGGGTACGCATCCTGTGAGCAGCAACGTCATAAGAAGCAAATCATAGCTCGTCATTAAATTTTGATTGAAGTCATCTTTAGTCGTTCCATGTCATAGAATAAAACCGGAAGTAAATGCACTCCTTTTGTTTACCAGATCCCTGTAGAACAAGCAGGCCTTGTAAAAATGGTGCGACATGTGCTAACCAGAATGGTGGCTATAAATGCCTCTGCAAACCTGGGTACCAAGGGATAAACTGCGAGCAAGGTAAAAGACACGAGACATCGATTTTTTTAAAGAAACACTTTTATTGCAATCACTATATCTGTAAGAGAATTTGGACAAGGAAACGTTTACAGTCATTGTGATCCAATTGTGACAATTTACTGGAATAGGAAAATTGGCCTTAAGTCACCTCGAAGTAAAAACCATTGATACTTAATAAAACAAAATAAGGTATGAGGCTGTCTCTGAGTCATATATGTAACACTCATCGTTTTCAATTTTTTAGATATCAATGAATGTCTAACGAGGCCTTGCCGCAATGGCGGCACTTGTGAGAACTTAGCGGGAAGCTACAGATGCAAATGTAAACCAGGATATTTAGGAAAACACTGCGAGATCGGTTTGTATTGTTCATTTGAGTGTAGACCTCCCGGTTTTTCATAAAACTCATCTTTATTTGACGTCTCTTAAGAGTCATTTGACATCTGTGTCGGGGCCGTCTTCGTTAAGTGTAAGTGAATAAAGGGTAAGGTCTAGGGAAACTGTGATGCTGCGTTGGTGGGGGAGTATAGCAAGACAATTTTGGTTCTATCAAATGAGTTGATAATGTAAACTGACCGCCGTAAAGAGTTTCAAAGCTGATGTTAGCCCTTCGTCAGAGCTCTGACGTAGGGCCAATGCTTGGAAATGTCAGCTTTGACCAATTAACATTATTAGCTTCGTTACTGAAATAAAAAATTACATTAAGTATAATGTGGTTGAGATGAAAGTTATAAAGCGTAATTTCGTTGTGTTACGCCTGGCCTAATGAATAAATTTTCCTTGTTTTATCCTTTTTTCTGTTGGCCTGATCTCATTTAATGTTTTGTGACTTAGACGACGTCACTATTCGTTATTACAAAAAGCTTAAATCCCTCAGAGATTGAGTTTCTGCTACGCTTGCAAAATGTAGAAAGTCTGGTGTAAGCAATCGACAGTTTTGAGATATGGAATGTTTTCGGACTTTAATGTGCAGTTGTTCAATCTGTTTTTTTGTAGTATTTGATGAATGCAGACACTATGAAGTCCTCAACGACAGAGAGCGCGCTGCAGGGCGTCACAGGGGTAACATCCTTAAGTGTGACCAGAGAGATCTTGTTACCCCTAAATGGTACAGGTTTACCGGAGCGGCTGGTGCTCAAATGCCAACGGCATGTGTTCCGAAACACTACTGCGGAACTCATGCACCAGGATGGTTGAGTGGCTCACATCCAACAAGAGTCGGGCAGGTTGTGAACGGGAAGGTGTGTTTCCATTGGGGCTCCAACTGTTGCAACTGGAATGCTGCCATTCAAATAAAGAAATGTAACGGGTTTTACGTTTACAAACTTTCGAGGACGCCTGTATGTTGGCTGAGATACTGTGGAAATGCCGGCTTTGGTGAGTTGGGTATCGCCTATTTTTCTTTCTTTCTTTGTATGAAAAGTAGGATCCCCGAATTCACTCTACGATTTTGAGCTTTCCGGAAAGATATACGCTGAATATGCTACATTTAAACCTCGTGGATAGTGTTCATGTCACGTTAACGGTTGTCATTTAATGTTATTTGTCACGAATGAAACCAAGAGAGGATAAAAATCTTCGGGAATGCAGGGTTTTTTTAAGTCTATAGTTTTATTCAACTTTCTTATGTAGTAGTGTTACAGGACAGAGATATGTGATTGTGTCGTGATGGAGGCTTTTGCCCTTTAGATGACATGAGAGGTTATGAAAATAGGGTTCATACTGCATAGAAGTACAATATTTGTACGTTTCTATGTTTCTAATTGGGTTAACGCCTCGGCGTTGTTATATATATGATTTTTGCTTTCTTTTAATCTTCGTTAATCTCACTATTATCATTTTGAATATAACTAGTATCAGTATTATCAATCCGATCGTAAATAGTATGGGTATTATTTTTCATTACAAATTCTTCAAGACCCGTGCAAAGCTAGTAAGCCTTGTCAAAATGGCGCCACTTGTGTCAACCAGAATGGACGCTACACTTGCCTCTGCAAGCCTGGGTACCAAGGAAAGAACTGCGAGCAAGGTGAGGTATCTAGGAGGACATCCTTAAAAATCATTGAATCTAAAAATACAACGTAAAATGGTGTCGCGTATTCTTTGTCAAACTTACTGCAATTGACTGCCGGTAATTGGTCGGAAAAGAATGGAAAACTATCCCACGTGAACAAAAAAATAATGTACCCTTTCAAATAATAACTGACATAAGGACATTAAAAGGAATTCATTTTATTCAAAATTCCAAATTTATAGTTTTGTTTTTCTGATCATGAACATATTAAACCGGATAATAATAATAAAGGAATTGAAGACATAGTCCTTTCGTGAATGTACAAAGGGCGAAAAGGCAAGCCTATAAAATTGAGGCTGGCAAGGTTCTTACTGTTTTGATACAATTATGTACAGATTTACATACAGAAAAAAGGCTATTAGAATGGTAACAACAATGTTGCTAGTGAGAAATGATTACAATGATAATAAAAACAAAATCAAATATATGTTCGGTTTGTCTTTAGATGTTAACGAATGTGTCACGAAACCTTGCCGTAACGGTGGAACTTGTGAGAATTTACAGGGTAGCTACAGATGCAAATGCAAAGCAGGATTTCTTGGCAAGCACTGCGAGATAGGTTTGTATGCTTGCCATTTGTTTTTTTCCTTTAGCGCTCATGTTGCTGTTTTCTTTGTTGTTGTTGTTGTTACCGTTTTTCTTTCAAGTTTTTGCCTGTAAATAATTGAAATAACTGTTACGACTTTTATGATATTAACTTTTCTGTTGAGCAGTTTCCTTACTGTCTATTTGTATTTAAGTTAAGAGAAAAAAGTTTTTTAAAGTGTTTATGGTATTCTCTGAATCAAATATAATGTCTTAACTGGCGTGAGATGCACATCGGGAGAATGCTGTAATCTTTTTATCTTATATTGCAGTTTTTGATAATTGCAAACATTATGAAGTTCTAAGTGACAGAGAGCGGGCTGCTGGAGTTCACAGGGGCAATATCCTTAAGTGTGACCAGAGGGATCTTGTTACCCCCAAATGGTACAGGTTTACAGGTGCAGCTGGTGTGCAGATGCCAACGGCCTGTGTTCCAAAACATTACTGCGGAACTCATGCGCCAGGATGGTTGAGTGGCTCACATCCAACAAGAGTCGGGCAGGTTGTGAACGGGAAGGTGTGTTTCCACTGGGGCTCCAATTGTTGCAACTGGAATGCAGCCATTCAGATAAAGAAATGCAATGGGTTTTACGTGTACAAGCTTTCGAGGACACCAGTATGTTGGCTGAGGTATTGCGGAAACGCAGGGTTTGGTAAGTCTATAGTTTTTATTAACTTTTTTCTGGTAGTGTTACAGGACAGAGATATGCAATTATGTCGTGATGGAAGCTTTTGCCCTTTAGATGACTTGAGAGGTTATGAAAATAGGGTTCATACTGCATAGAGTTACAGCATCTCGGCGTTATTATTTATAAGATTGTTGTTTTCTATTAATCTTCATTATTCTCATTATTATCATTTTAAATATGCCTATTATTAATATAATATTATTATTCTCATTATAAATACTATTGGTATTATTTTTCATTACAAAATCTTTTAGACCCGTGCAAAGCTAATAAGCCTTGTCAAAACGGCGCCACCTGTTTAAACCAGAATGGTGGGTACACTTGCCTCTGCAAGCCTGGGTACCAAGGAAAGAATTGTGAGCAAGGTGAGGTATTTAGGAGGATATCCTCAAAAAACATTGGATCTAAAACTAGATAGAAAAATATTGGCGTGTATTCTTTGTTCACTGAACTTACTGTAATTAACTGTCGGTGGTTTGTCGGAAAGAATGGAAAACGTATCCACGTAAACAAAAAAAAATATACTTTGTCAAATAATAAAAACATGAGTTCGTTAAAGGAAGTTTATTTTTATTCCAAATTCCAAATTAAGAGTTTTGCATATCTAATCATGGACATATTAAACAATAATAAAGGAATTGAACATATAGTCCTTTAAGGTGAAGTGAATGTACGAAAGGCGAAAAGCAATCCTATAAAATAGAGGCTGGCCTGGTTTTTACTGTTTGATACTGTTACGTACATATTTACATACAGAAATGAGGTTATCGAAATATTTATTATGTTAATAGTAATACAAGATTTTAATGACAACCGTGATAATAGGAACAAAAAGATTTGTTTGGTTTGTCTTCAGATGTTAACGAATGTGTCGCAAAACCTTGCCGTAACGGTGGAACTTGTGAGAACTTAAAGGGTAGCTACAGATGCAAATGCAAAGCAGGATTTCTTGGCAAACATTGCGAGATAGGTTTGTATGCTTGCCATTTATTTTTCTTTAGCGTTGATGTTGCTGTTTCTTTTTTGTTGTTGTTGTTGTTACCGTTTTTATTTCAAGCTTTTACCTGTAAATTTTAAGTAACCCCTTTAACGAATTTTAAATTTTTCCTTCAAGCAGTTTCATTTCTGTTTATTTGGATTTTTGTTTAGAGGCAAAAATATAGTTTTTTAATGTTTATGGTATTTTTCGAGTCGAATATAATGTCTTAAGTGGAGCTAGGGATAAACTAGGAATATGCGTAATCTTTTTATTTCACGTATATTGCAGTTTTCGATAATTGCAAACATTACGAAGTTCTTAATGACAGAGAGCGGGCTGCTGGAGTTCACAGGGGAAATATCCTCAAGTGTGACCAGAAGGATCTGGTAACTCCCAAATGGTACAGGTTTACCGGATCAGCCGGCACTCAGATGCCAACGGCATGTGTTCCAAAACATTACTGCGGAACTCATGCGCCAGGATGGTTAAGTGGCTCACACCCAACTAAAATCGGGCAGGTTGTGAATGGGAAAGTGTGTTTTCACTGGGGTTCCAACTGTTGCAACTGGAATGCAGCCATTCAGATAAAGAAATGCAATGGGTTTTATGTGTACAAGCTGACAAGGACGCCTGTTTGTTGGCTGAGGTATTGCGGAAATTCAGGATTTGGTAAGTTTAGAACTATCCTCCATCTTATTCAGAAAAAAATAAACGAAAGATTCATCTAAATGATATTTATATTCATATTTATCTCCACTATTCACAGACCCATGTAAAGCAAGCAGGCCTTGCCTAAATGGAGCCACCTGTGTCAATAACCAGGATGGATACAAATGCCTATGTAAGCCTGGCTATCGAGGGAAAAATTGCGAGCAAGGTTAGGAATACCATATTTCTGTCTTATGAGTTTTCTTGCATGATTTGTTTCGTTTCGTCCTGTTTTTTCGTTTGTTTGTTTAGTCGTCCACACGGAGATCGTCACCATACTCATGCTGTACCTTGCTGAGGTGAAAACCTTTCGTATATTTTTCCAGATGTCAACGAATGCTTAACTAGACCATGTCTCAACGGTGGAACATGTCAGAATTTAGCAGGAAGTTACAAATGCAAATGCAAACCAGGATTCTTAGGAAGACGCTGCGAGACGGGTAACCTTAAAGGATATTTTTTTTGAACCACTTGCCTTTTGAGTATTGCCTCCTCTGATTAAATGTTAGTGCAACCTCAGATTTACCAAATTCTGATTATTTAAATATTCTTTGTTAGAGTAGCAAATTGGATTAATCGCAAGTCGCACATAACCTTTGGAAATACAATGATAGCTCATCAATGTCTCTAAAAATTTGTGCAATGTTTTTTTGCAGCGTTTAATCCATGCTTGCATTACGAGACCCTCAGTGACAAGGATAGAGCCGCAAGTGTCCATAGAGGAAATATCTTGAAATGTGACCAGAGGGATTTAGTAACGCCAAAATGGTATAGATTTACAGGGGCAGCAGGCACCATGATGCCTACCTCCTGTGTTCCGAAGCAGTACTGCGGAACTCATGCACCGGGTTGGTTGAGCACTGCGCATCCATCAGTCGTCGGGCAAGTTGTCAGCGGAAAGGTGTGTTTCCACTGGGGGTCTAGATGTTGTAACTGGAACGCGAATATCCAGATAAAGAAATGCAACGGATTTTTTGTGTATAAGCTTGCAAGGACTCCGGTGTGTTATCTCCGCTACTGTGGCAATGCGGGATATGGTAAGATGTATTGATGAAATACATAATTATCTCAGAGAGTGAAGCTTATTAAGTTCAGTATATTTAGAATTCGTAAAGTTTGAGCTGACTGACCAAGATGAATGTTTCTTGCTAGGCGAGTGTAAAATGAATAAACCATGCAAGAATGGGGCAACATGTATCCAGAAACCAGATGGGTATTCTTGCGTCTGTCCTTCAGGTTTCCAAGGAAAGCATTGCCAAAACGGTAAGTTAAAAAAAAAAAAGAGAAACAGCGTTAGATTTACGATACTGGTAACATGGAAGCTTGACGAAGACCGGCTACATCACTGAACGGCTTTTTAAAAGATGTTACGATTCTGTTGCTCCTAGCATTAAATTTTTTTAAAAACCGGCATCCCAAGTACGATGTGACTCAAATTAAAATAACAAAAACAAAAAAAAAAAGAGAAAAACGACAAAAAGTTGAGTGTTATCATGTTTAGAAAAGTGTCATAAGTCGCTAGCGAGGTTTACATCAATGAATGTTTATCACTACGTGAAGGTTACGTGTTCATGCGACATTCAGACACATTCTTTCAGACATCAAGAATTCTTGCTATCGACAAGTTTCTATGGCCATTAAACTAAATCAGTGCGGTTAAGGCTGAAAAAATCAAAGGCTCAAATGAGTCTTTATTTTCCTTTGTCGCCCTACATTTGATGCATTAAGCTGAATACTTCAGGATTCAGGCCATTCTTGCATTACCTAAAATGAATGACTGGTCATCCTAAATGTTGATAGCTTTGTCGTAAAAAGCTTAGCCATCAGGAAAAGTATTATTAGGGTATGGATTCCAAGTTAAATTGTCATCAGTTTAGAGGAATTTTAAATTTTGCCAGACTTTGTGAATAATCTGATCAAATTTTCGTACCATCCCTCAGAAATAAACGAGTGCCTGGTACACAAGCCATGCAAAAATGGTGCAACATGTATCAACACAATCCGAGTGCACCTTTGTCGTTGTTTCAGCGGATTCACGAGAAAAAATCGCAACCAATAAATAAATAATATATAATATATAAAATAATAATAATAAATATCGCATTTGCCTTTAGGCCCACAACGTACGTTTTCGAAATCGAAATCGGCCTAATCAGATAATCTTGAGTTAGCTAGATTTTCAAACTTTGTGTACTTAAAAGGCACAATAACGTTCGTCCTAGAGTTGAGATCATTTTTTCGTTTACCTTTCAGACATCAACGAGTGCCTAACAACAAAACCGTGCAAAAATGGCGCCACTTGTGTTAATAGCAATGGGGGATACAGGTGTCTTTGCGTCCCTGGATTTCAAGGGAAACATTGTGAGACAGGTACAAATAGTTCTCCATAGTAAAATAAAGCGATCAAAACTGTACGCTGGTTTGGACGCAAAGAAAACGAAGCGTTTATGATAACACGAGAACAGCGTTTCGAAAACGTACTATGTGGACGGGGTCTCAGTCAATAAGCATTTTATCACATGACCACTGTCTAAGCTTTGAAATGTTCGAGTCAAAACAAGAAACCGGCAATTTATCGAAAAACATGACCTTTTAAAAGGTTTTCCACTTCTGTCACTCTTTTTTTGCAACGAAATTGTATATTGGGGTTGACGGCTTTTTCCGGAGCGACTGACTTCAACCCGTCAGGCCCTGCACACATCAACCACCACTATGGTTTCTTATGGGATTGCGTGACAGGGGACGGACGGGTCATATGAGAATAATTCTTATAGGAAATTATCCATTCATTTTCATAATTAAACCTCCCGTGTATCCTTCTTTTTTTTATTTAGATGTGAATGAGTGTTTAATAAATGGCATATGTAAGAATGGAGGAACCTGTATCAATACTCACGGTGGATATCGATGTCAGTGTTTGAGTGGATACCAAGGGAAGCACTGTGAACAAGGTACAAAGAATCCTCTCAGAGTATCATCCTCTGACGAATGTTATGCCGGCTGTGTATCGAATCATATTAATGAATACTATAACCTAAACGGTTGAGGAACATTTTTGCTTTCTCAGTGGAGTTACGTCTTTATTTGAGCATATACTTCGCTGACATAATTTTCTTCATTTAATAATCGTCTACACAAACGGAAGGTATCGTTGTCCCAAAGGGTTTGCTTAAAACCATTACAGACAAGAAAAGGATCATATTTGCCATTAGACACAGAAAGGGCACGTTTTCTGACCCATGACCAGCGAAATCAGGTAACCTGAAATTGGCTAGATTTTAAAACTATTTGTGTACTTAAAAGCACAAAAACGTTCCTTCAAGTGTTAAGGATTTTCTTTATATTGTTATCAACGATGCATATCATTCAAATTACGGGATGCGCAAAGTTGTCACAGTTTAAAGCTGTCTTATTTCTTTCACCTTTCAGATATCAACGAGTGCCTAATAACAAAACCGTGCAAAAATGGCGCCACTTGCGTTAATAGCATTGGAGGATACGACTGTCTTTGTGTCCCTGGATTTCAAGGGAAGCATTGTGAAACAGGTACAAAAAGATTTGTGTAATAAAATAAAGCGATCAAAACTGTATCATTCTGGCCTAGAATGCTGAAGGATCCGTTGCGACCCATTGCAAATAATACTTCTTATATAAGAAATTATCCACTCATTTTCATTAATGAACCTCACGTGTATCATTTTTTAAAATTAATTAGATGTGAATGAATGTTTAATAAATGGCATATGTAAGAATGGAGGAACTTGCGTCAATGTTAACGGTGGATACCGATGCCAGTGTTTGAGTGGATACCAAGGGAAGCACTGTGAACAAGGTAGAAATAGTATTTTAAAGTTTACATATACTGACGACTTTTGAGCCGTTTAGTTCTTTGACAAGAAAGCGATCAATTTAGACTGTTTTAAATAACTGCTTGGGTTTTACCCTTAAGATGTGAACGAGTGCACAACGACAAGACCATGCAGAAATGGAGCCACCTGTGTGAACAAGAACGGTGGATATGATTGCTTGTGTGTTCCTGGTTTCAAAGGAAAGAACTGTGAGATAGGTAAAGAACCTTTCTTAAAAATGATTTTCTTCATAAGTATTGTGACTGGAAACGTTCTAGCAGTTTAGTTCGAAAATAAATTGTTTCTACGTTTATCTATTGATTTGTTTATGTCTGTATCTGTTTATCTGTTAACCAATTTACCAATGCTTTTATTTATACGATTATTACTTTTTTTTTTATAAGATGTCAATGAGTGTATCACTAGACCTTGTTTGAATGGTGGTACTTGTGCCAATCAGCATGGAAGCTACCAATGCGTTTGCCTGGCGGGATTTACCGGCAAGCACTGTGAAACCCGTAAGTGATAATGTTATTCCTGTCCGGGAATAGAATCATTTTCGAGGTTGATTGTCGTCTTCAACTTATATCTGAATGAATAGATAATCAATAAGTGTTCTTTTTTGGCAAATATTATTATTTAGGAACAGGCACCAGCTCCTGAAATAAAAATACTTGCACGATGGTAAAATTTCGGGTAAGACAAAAGAAAGGAAAAGCAAACAAAGAAACGAACATTGGGAACAAACACGCAAAACCAATTAACATACAGCGTAAACAAGAACAAAAAAGCCACAAACAAAAAAATAATAATTGATAAATCGATATCTTGGAGTATCGACTGAAGTGTGAAGGTGAGAAAGTGAAAATAAATTACTCAGCCCCTCCTCAATGGCCTTTGTTAAAAATTCGGTATGTGTTGTTCCCATTCGCTCATTGATATGCCGCAAGAGCTTCAAGGTGCATAAATAAGTCCGAGTTGTTCACATGTATTCCTCAAGAACAAGTTGAAAACGTTCAATAATGATCTTTTTATAGAAATGAGTAGCTAAAATGTTCATGCTTAACTCTGTTTCATGATAATTAAGGATGAAAATCGCGTTAGGACTGTGCCCAAATTTTCCTGAGTGCACGTAGAGATGCATTTAGTTACTCTCTACGTCCATTTTCGTCAATATGATACAGGAGACCTTGCTCTCTTACATGATGATAAATACTGATGTTTATAAAAAATTAAAGCACCCATCTTTGTTTTCAAAAGAAATCGATGCATGTGCAAGTTACTCGGTGCTAGATGAGAAGGACCGTGCAGCTGGAAACGATGCAAACAAGTATACGTGCGACCAAAGGGATATTGCAACACCGGCGTGGTACAGGTTTTCTGGAGACGCTGGCGATAAAATGGCGGACTCCTGTGTTCCTGAGTTGCACTGCGGAACACATGCGCCGGGGTGGTTAAATGGTGATCATCCCGTAAATGAAGGGGAGGTCGTCGAGAGGCAAGCTTGCTTTCACTGGGGATCCAGTTGCTGTAAATGGTCTACAAAAATAAAGATAAAAAAGTGTAAGGGATTCTTTGTCTATGAGCTTCAAAGAACTCCAGCCTGTCATCTACGTTACTGTGGAAACTCTGGTTTACGTAAGTGACAAAAACTACCAATATTTCCATTGAATTTGTATGTTAGACCTGATAAAAGGACAATAGATGTCTCCAGTGGAATATATTTTGGGGTCCTAAGATAATATCGGTCTGTTTCATGGTGCCTGATTTATTTCTTTTTTTAAGTATGAATTGATATAGTCATTGTCTGTCTGTCTGTCTGCTTTTTATCTGTCCGTTGATCCTTCTATCTTTCTCTACAAATGAATCCATCATCCACATCTTTTTCTCTGAACTTTAGCCGTGAACGAGTGTGCCGTTACAAAACCATGCAAGAACGGAGCAACCTGTGTTGATTTGAAGCGTGGATACCAATGCCTCTGCGCCTCAGGGTTTACAGGAAAAGATTGTGAACAAGGTATTCTAATGCAGATGTGTAACAAAAAATGGAACGAGTTGAAATTAATGAATGACAAAGATTGATTGAATGATAAATGAATGAATACCGATTCATGCATCAACAAAGGAAATTCTAACGCGGATGACTTTCCTACCTAAGTTAATATGCGCTTTTACTATGTTAAAAGAAGTTTGTGATTGTTCCATCAGATGTAGATGAGTGCTTGATAAGCGGTCTGTGTAAGAATGGTGCCACATGTGAAAACAGCGTGGGTGGATATCAGTGTAAATGCCCCAGTGGATTCAAAGGAAAACGCTGTGATGAAGGTAACAAAAAAGATCAAAAATAAAAAGAATTGAAAGAGAAATGTTACTTTATTCATTTCAAGCATTCTTATAGGGAGTTTGGTTAGAAGAAATTGCAGTTTTTCTATGAGGATTTTTACCGGTTCCCGTAATTGAGAGGATACTGGATTATTGTTGCAAATATCCGTCAACCTCAGTAACAGTCGCCTTCAGCAATCCTTGTGAGACCCAAAGCGCCATAGAGGTGACTGAGAGACGGACCGACAAAGCAACAGCAACAATAACAATAACGAAAACAACAAAACATGTATAAACTTCAACGCAAGCGATAAATTTTATCATGTATCTTTATTCTTTAGCCTTTGAAAAAATATATTTATTTATTTTAATACAATTCTGAAGTTTCAACGCATGAATGTGACTTCCTTATATCTTTACATGTATACCTCTACGCCCTTCAGATGTCGATGAGTGTTCAGCTAATACTAAATGTAAAATGGCGCAACGTGTGTCAATACCATTGGCGCATATCAGTGCCTTTGTTCACGAGGATAACAAGGGAAACATTGCGATCAAGGTCTCAATTTTGTAATTACCAACGGACCAGTCATTTTCCGATCGCCTGGGGGGATATTAGGTGTATCACATAGTTTACAAGGGGAACATAACAAGGATCAGCCGTCGTTAAATGATTATATATATAGGGTTTACTGGGGGAAAGGATCATTAGAATTTTACAGAGCCTTACGGTGGGATAAGGTAAATTTCATCCTTACTTACATCATTTCATCAGATGTGGACGAATGCACGAACAGTCCATGTAAAAATGGTGGAAGTTGCATGAACCTTAGAGGGAGTTATAGATGCGACTGCATTAAAGGATTTACAGGCAAACACTGCGAACAAGGTTTGCTGGCGATTTTTTAGAATTTTTTTGTATTTGATATACACTCAACCGTCCAACAGACTACAGTGACTTAACAGCTAGATTTATGCACATGTATGTATATGTATTTCACAGACATAAATGAATGCATAACGATTCAACCATGCAAGAACGGTGCAACGTGTACAAACACTATCGGTTCCTATATGTGTCGCTGTGACAGTGGATACCAAGGATTACTCTGCGATCAAGGTATACATATATCGACCCTTTACTACAACCAGCATTGAAAATTCAGTATAATGAAACCTAAGCAAATGCCTCCAATGAAGTCTCAAGTAACTGTTTGGGACACAGAAAAAAATTGAGCAGAAGACCTCAGATATAAGTTATGGCACAATACTAGCTTGCACAATCAACGCGTCACGATGTCACGATGCTTCTTCTGATCTTTTTTTCCATCCCCAAAATAAATAGCCTTAGTAAACACAGTGTAAATGCTTTTATATATTGTTTTAGACATCGACGAGTGTTCTTCATCAAGTCTGTGCAGAAATGGCGCCACCTGTACAAACACGATCGGAGGATACAAGTGTTCTTGTGCCAGTGGATTCGAGGGGGAACATTGTGATCAAGGTAAAGCGTATCAATAAAACAATATCCTTTAGTCATAATTAATAAGGGCAATTTAATAGTGGCAAATAGAAAAGGAATTTATAAAAGATCTGAATTAACAGTCACGTGATGGAGCTTTTTCACTTTGTTTACCTCTATTACCCATTTTAGATATTGATGAATGTAAGAGCGGTCCTTGTGTGAACAGTGGAACTTGTTATAACAAGCCTGGCAGCTTTGAATGCAAGTGTCCTGATGGATATGATGGCGAGCGCTGCGAAAATGGTATATAAAGCACAAAGTTAGATATCAAATTATAAAGCATTTGTTAGTTGACGCTCAAATGAGCTTTAGTCTGAGCCTCTATGGCATAAAAATAGCTGTTTGCCTGTTGATTCTGGGTAAATGAGATAATTCGCTCATAACCTTTCAACTACAATTATGTAACGTTTGTCGAGAAATAATAAAGCTAGTGTGATGCGTGAAACATTTTCTTTTATGAATACCTTGTCTGATAATTAAAGAGATTTTGCCTATCTGATCACCAGTTGGCGTGCACGTAATTTCGTGAATATATTGAGGTCTCTAGGTCTTTCGGATAATCTTCTTTTCTAGATATCGACGAATGCGCTACCAAAGACCCATGCAAAAATGGTGCCACTTGCATAAACATAATTGGCGGATTCCAGTGTTCGTGCGCAAGTGGATTCGATGGGAAATATTGCGAACAAGGTACCTTTCTTTTATTGTGCAAATTTGTATTGAGAATTAGGCATTCCGCTAGACATTTCTTGTGTATTTATGATAAGTACTCTCTGCGTGAAACGTTGTAATATATTAATTTAGCAAATACCACACAGCTAAATAGTGCTTTTCGCGCGCGCTGATTTTCTGGTTTGAAAGTTTTAAATAAACTATTTATTTTGTTTGTTTCTGTGTGATACATACTAAAGAGGAAAAATAGTCACCTCCACTTCGGGGCATTATCGTTAAGTACTGTCTGTAGCAGCGTCTATATAGGCCCGCGCACATGTTACAAGCTCAATCGTTTAGCGCTGCTTATAAACTATATTTTGCTAAATGAGATTTCAAAGTAGTTTCAATGATATCACATTTCACAACGCTCAAGAAAGGAGAGATGCCAGTTACATGTAATAGCTGACCACCGATTTTCCACACTGGTTAGTTTTATTTGTAGACGAAACGTCCACTTTAATATTTTGCGATTTTAAGAGTCTTTACGATGTTTCGTTTTCCAGATAAGGATGAGTGCAAGGTGAACCCATGCAAGAATAGTGCTACGTGTATCAATCTGATTGGTGGGTTTGAATGCAAATGTTTACCAGGCTTTCAAGGGGATGTATGCGAGCAGGGTACGTATCTCTTGATGAATTTGGGTATACCAGTAAAATAATTCTTTAAATCAAATATGTCTACACACTTAATTTGTGGAAGAGATGAGGATTAAATTGCAACACTGAATTCAATGACAGATATTGACGAGTGTGTGGGAGACCCATGTCTGAACTCTGGAAACTGTTCAAACACTCCTGGAAGTTACAAATGCGAGTGTATCAAGGGGTTTGAGGGCAAAAACTGCGAAAAGGGTATGTATCTCTGTTAACTTTGGGAGTTATAGCTCAGTGAACGTCGTTATGCGGAGGAGTAGCGGATGAACCATGAAAACCCCGTTTAACCCTGTATCACGTCACAGTTAGGTTTTGAGATCACAATTTGCTAATCATCCCAATGGAAAGCTCTCCTTTGACACAATGACAAAAAGAGTGAGGTATAATCCAAATTTAAAAGGCCGAATTGTACTTGAGTTACTGGAGTACTGTGAGGTGGCATCATTGTTACACTGTCATGAAATACTTTACTCAGACACCTAGCCTTACTTTTGTCCCGCTAAAATGAAAGAAATTGCTCATACCAGACAATAAATAGAAGTGAAAGTTAAAACTAGCTGAAATAATAAGTATTTCGTGTAATGTTTTATTTTAAGTGTTTTTGTTTCAAAATGCAGTACGATTATGAACTTCGTCCTAACTTTCGCATGAGGGTAATATGTCAGCTTGATAAGGTAAACAGGGAGGCAGATCATCAAGAGTCAGGTCGAAATTACCACACAGTTGAAGCGTTCCATGGACAGAAAGGCTTCATCGGCTAGCTATGATTATTACAGAGAGAAATATAAGGAATGTTAGCCTACGATCGATCGTTAACACACACTCTTCATTTCATTTAGATGTAGATGAATGTAAAAGGAGCAACCCCTGTCAAAACGGTGGCACGTGTCAAAATAAGAAAGGCACTTATCATTGCTCATGTCCAGATGGAATTACAGGCTTTAACTGCGAGATAAGTATGTCATAAACATGAAAAGGAAATGTCTGAATTAAGTATAATCTATCAGAGTGAGCAGCCTTGATGATAACAAATATTTCACTTCTGTGTTTTTTGAACTCCCATGTGACTGTTTTTGTTCCTCATGCTAAAAGGTCTTCTTCCTCCTCCTCTGGTTCATCTTCTTCTTTCTTCTTCTAATTATCCTTCTTCATCAGCATCTTATTCCTTTTCTTCATTTTCTTCGTCTTCATCTTCATTATCATCTTCTTTTTTATTGTTCTTCCTCTTATCCTTCTTCATATTCGTCTTCTTCTTATTCATCTTCTTCTCCATTATCATCATCTTATTCTTCTTTTTTTTCATCATCTTCTTTTTCTTCGTCCTCCTCGTCGTCTTTTTATTTCAACATTAATTCTTATTTGAAAATCACCCTCTATGTGTTTACCATGGCCACTTGTTTCTTTCAGAAATATCCTTCAAAGAACTTGGTTGTTTTAGAGACAGGTCCAACGACCGTACAATGACTTTGCTAAAGAACCTACGAAAGTACATTGACTGGCGCGACATGTCCAAGACAGTTAAAAACTGTTCTGAGATTGCAAGAGGCACACCGGGGTAAGTAGCTTTGGCAAAATGTGATCAGTTTGCTGGCCTTAATTAGTTTCCTCTGTTACATAGCATATTCATTGCTCTGTTATTTATTTTACATTGTGTTTGTTACGGTATAAGCTAACCGACAGAAAAATACTGCAATCCTACAGACTCGACAACTTTATTAAACAAAGAGTAATAATCTTAATGAGGAGCGACTCCAAAAGGCAGTACAATATTTATCCTCGAAAATTACTTAAGCCCACTACAGTCTATATCTTAGCTCAGCACTATACCAAACTCACAGTTTCCTCCAACGTTTCTTGAAATTAGCAATCTTCCACTATAGCTCACCCTCATGGTATAACTTTCTACACAGTCGGTCACTCCTGACAACAACAACTACTACTACTGCATACCTGAGTCCTGATATACATTCACAAAGTGCGCTGGAACATTCCAGAAGCTTACAAAAGAACAATATAGAAGTATTACGAGATAAATGTGTGAAAGCCGTTCTATGGTACGCATGTCAGCATGACAGATTTCGAGAAGCTTTTATGTACAACAATAATTACTCATAACATGTTATAAAACTTGTACCTCCAAATGATGGAAGGAAGGCTACTTCATAGAACATTTACCTGAGCATCCAGGGTACATTGCATTCACGGTTTACATAAATTATTGACCTTTTTTTTTTTTTCGTGTATTCTGCTCATAGGGTTTACTACTTTGCGATTCAATATTACGGAGAGTGTTTCGGTGCGCCAGAGGGTACCAAGTATGATAAATTTGGCCGAGCATCCAACTGCTGGTCCGGTGTGGGAGGAGCTAACAGCAACTTCGTTTACACGCTATATTAAAGCTATTGAGGGGTTGAGAGGTAAGATCATTTTATTTAAAACCATCAATTGTAGACGAAATTTACGGTGTTTCTGTGGCCGAAGCCTTTTGTCTTACTCAGGGCGATCAATGATTGAAATATCTTTTATACATACACACCAGATATGGAACCGAACAACAAAAACATGAATTTCAACAAGGACAGATAGATATGTCTCGAATTAAAAAAGACACGTTCTGAAAGCTACCGATTTACTCGAAAAGTTTACGGGTAGTTGGTAGCCAGAAATGGTCTGAAATTGTGTTCAATATAACAGTTTGTACTCACCTGCTATACATTATTAGTGCAGTATGTGACTAAAGAGTTTTTAAATCAGGTTTCTAACCAAGGATTGTAACAGGCAATTGCGTAATCTTATGGGGGACCCTGAGACAACATTATCCAGATTTCTTCCGTGGAGCGTGATAGTTCGGGTGAAAGTAAACCTTGTTCAAAAACTAACGAATTAGAGCAGATTCCTCTCAACATATTCTGATAACGACAAAAAACCGTACACGTGACTTAGTTACTAAACCAGTATAATCCACAGCAAACCGACACATCGTCACATCACAAAATTAAAAAGGCGAAGTGGCTGAGTAATCAATTTCCACGACTTAAAAAATTTCCCTGACAAATAACGTTGGGTCAAGTTGTCGAAATTTCTGCGTCACCGACAACATTCCTTTTCAGTCTTACCCTAAAACAAGTAGGTACAAACCCTTGATTTCTTGATTTCTAGTTGACTCGCAGTTCTGTTTCTAAAACTTATTGCAGAGGTGAGCTAATCAAGGGCTTATCTACTGATGGTACTTAACTTGAAGCTTATGAAAACTGTGATGAACAAAGCTGTCAACAATAAAAGAGAGGTTTAAACCGAAGAGGTCTGAATGTCGTATATTTTAACTAGCGATGAGGACTTTTTCGAAATTCCCATCTGATCGCAACCCATTTAGGTAGTGGTCGTGAAAATCAGCAAAATGGCAATAAAAAGTGTTTGCTTTTTATGAACTTTCGATTTCGCAGGGAACAGAAGAAAAACGATCGCTAAAGTTGCTTGTATCTCGGTAAGAGAATCCAGAGAAGTCGATCCCACAAAATATACTACAATTCATCTCACTACTTGTCGAGAAATTTACCTCGTAAACCAGATGGACCGCCTCCTGAAACACAAGCGATCACACACATTTATGGTCAGCCCTGAGGCAAATGATTTATTGATTTTCTTTCATGTCCTTACTTACTTTACTAAAACTTAAAGCTGCTCGGAGAGCCTTAGTTTACAAAGCGGTAAACATAATTAGTGAACGATGTTCCCACAGCGTCATTAAGGCAGTTGGTAGCTTTTCCCTCTCTAGCGTAAGTATCTCCAGCCTCAGGACCTGACCAGCACTCCGCATAATACTGGACAGAAAAATATGCGTACCTGAAAAGCAAAAAAAACAAAAAACAAAACTTTCCTGCTTATTTTTGTATTCCTTATCTCTCATGTGGGACCTGCTAGATAAGTGGTTATTGTTTTGGACACCAGATGAAGAGGCCTAGGTCCATGCCTCGACACCACACTTATGTTCCCTTATTCACTTCAGGTTAAACCGCCATTGCTAAGAAATGCTGACAAAATAACGGGAATAGCCTTTCAGCTGATTCGTCAATGTCCGTACATATAGGTTGGTAGTTGACTTGTAAGTATTTCTGACATCCCATCTAAAAGGCCAAAACTTTTGGGAGAATGTAGTTCACAACCAGTGCAAGAAGAAATACTGTGCGATTTCAAATTAGATTTTAGATCATCCCCGCGGGAAGATCCAAATCAAGACTTTTATATGAACATTGATTTATTTTATTCCTATTCGTTAATGTAGCTTTTCATATGAAACACATTACCCTTTTTTCTGCGCCAGTTTTGCGCACTTGTCGACTGTAAGCTCCACGTGTTTCCAATTTATTTCTTTGCGGAAGCTCCCAAGAAATTCGGGTAAGGGGCGCGGCGCCACTCCTTTATCATGGAAACAGCCCACAGGTTCATAAGAGTTCCCTACAGAAGAAAGAAAGGTTGCAGCGATCATCAGTATTGTTTCAATTATTATGTATTCATGCCGCTTTCTTTTAACCGGAAAATGTGAGGATAGGTCTACCATACTTACTGATGGCGGGTGTTGGCATGGATTGGGCTGAAAAATAAAAAAGATATAAATTTTATTAAAAATAACTCCATCAAAAGTCTTTATTCCTGTAAACATTTTAACCATACAAAATTTAAATATTTACTCTTTAGACGTTAATGTTATACCGGAATTTTTACTAGTTGGGGGATTTTCTTCTAACCGCAAAACGTAATCAAGTTGAATCAATTTTTTTCATGTCCGCCTGTGGATCGGAATTTATCTTCTTATTTAACTCCTCTACGTTTGTTAGGTTTTGATTGTCGATTTAAACTTTTACACACTGCTGTAACTATTTTATCCTCAATTCACTTATACATGGAGCAAAGAGCATGGGATCAAAGTTTCCTAACCTTGATCGCAGTAGAAACCTTCGTATCCAGATGGGCAGATGCATCTATACCCAGCAATGTCATTTATGCATGTTGCACCATTTTGACAATAGTGACTGGCACATTCATCAATGTCTGAAAAAAGAAAAAAATACCTACTCTATTAAATAATGAAAACCTCAATATTCGCGGTTGTGTTGTAAATAAATTAAAGGGCCTACTCGAAACTTAGGGAATCGAGCGAAAAAAGAACATTTTCCATCGTATGCTTTGTTTGTCAGCCAGTCTGCTCATAACTAAATGGAGCTTTCAGTTTTACTCACCATTTTCACAATTTTTCCCTTCCCATCCAGGCATGCATTCACAAACGTAACCGCCATTTGAATTGCGACAGGTACCTCCATTTTGACACGGGAAAAGTTCGCATTCGTTCACATCTTAAAAGGACAAAAGCTTCTTTACATTGGTCATGAATTGACCTAAGAGTTTGTACTTAGTATGGACTTCTCTTCGTGAAGGCATCTGTTTGGCCGGCCAGATTAAAATTTTAATGTCCTTACATAAAATTCGAGTAACTACCCAGTGGTTCGAACCTTAGACATTAGTAAAGGAAATAACTGAAGTTATTTTTTGGGAAAGTATTTTGACCACAAATATGGCTCGATGGAATAGCTAACGCACGTGACTTCACTCAATCCATTCCAACAAATCTTAAAAACATTAGCTTAAAAGAGGATCTCACCGCAACTTCCCCATTAGAAAGCTATAGAGAAATATCATTGAGCTGTAAACCAACCCTTGTCGCACGCTTTTCCGGTCCACTGTTTTGTACACTGACAGGTGAAATCTCCTTGGGTGTTGGTGCAAACTCCATCATTTTGGCAGGGGTTGTTCATGCATTCATTAATGTCTGAATAAGTGTAAGATGTTTATATAACGAAGTCAGATCAGACTTAAGGGCCTTTTAAATATCTTTATTCCGAGGCTAAACAAAAACGATAAATGGCGATAAAATATTTATTGGTAGGTCGATAATGATAAAAATTATAATAATAATCATGACGATAACACTACTAGTGAAAACTCTTTTCATTACACAGAAACTAGGCTGCGAGGAACTAACGATAGTAGGGTCTTTCTGTCTTGTTACGTTTGTAAATACATTTAGTTACAAATACGAACAAAAATGTAATTCATCTTGCACAAAATGAAAGTTTAAATTTACTGTATTTTGTTATTCATGTTTTGCTTATGTCCTTAAAGTTAGATTAATAACCTACCTTGATCACATTTGGCTCCTGTCCATCCAGCGGCGCATTGACAAGTGTATCCCCCATGTGAGTTGATACAACTGGCTCCGTTTCGACATGGGTTGTTATTACATTCATTCACATCTGGAGATAAAATGATATAAGAATTGCAATCTTTTAAGGATCCAGAGAAAAGCCTCACCATTGCTTTTTCATGGATAGGTGACAATTTAGTTGAAAGAGAATTTTAATTAGCCTGGAAATATTACCTTTTGAGCCTAAACAATTTTCCTCGTCTCGTGACATAACAAACCACTATACCTTGCTCGCAATCTTTTCCAGTCCATTGTGGGACACAGCTGCATGTATATCCTCCTTGGTCGCTTTTGCACGTTCCTCCATTCTTACAAGGATTTTTTTTACATAAGTCAAGCACTGAAAGGGGAATACCATACCTCGTGATGAATGAGATGTAGCAAAGCCTTCGCTAACCGCGTGTGAGCTAATCGATGGAACAGATATGGCCTAAATATACAGAGCATCAGCCAACCCCTTCAGCCCCTCCCTTAAGAAACTTCTCGTCTGCGATCAGCTCAGAATTGACTTTACTTGATAGCTACGCCTTTTCTTATAAGGTCAAAAAAGATAACGAAAGCAAAAGTTAAGAATAAACAGTAACCAAAAACAAACAAGCAAAGACAAGAAACAAAAAACAAACAAAGAAACAAAGCGATGCAAACTACTAAGGTTTAGTGCAGAATTTATCAGTCTGCTTCCAATTACGTATACGTTTACCTTCCTCGCAATTTTCTCCTCCATATCTATTATCGCATTTACACTTGTAACTTCCCTCCTTGTTCTCACAGGTTCCTCCGTTTTGACAAGGATTGTTGTCGCATTCATTTATATCTATGGAGAAAAAGGGAAGGTAGAAATTTCAGTAAAGGTCATTTACCATTTTATTCCCAAAATTCACTAACCTTGGTCGCAGAAATCTCCACCCCACCCAGCAGCGCACGTACAGCTGAATCCCCCGTCCTTATTGACGCACGAGCCACCGTTTTTACAAGGGCCGTCCAAACATTCATCGAGATCTTAAGTGAAGAAAATTTAATTTTCTGTGGATTTATTTGACAAAAAAAGAACAAAAAAAAAAAAAAAAAAAACTCAGAAAGAAAGAAACGCTACCGATCACTCACCTACTTCGCAGTTCTTCCCAGTCCACCCTTTCGGACAGTTACATACATGTGAGCCGATCTGATTTGTACATTGTCCGCCATTTTGACAGGGATTTTTGTCGCACTCGTTGACGTCTTTTAAAATTAAAAAAAAAATGAAAAACGGTTAAAATGGCATTGAATGCTATTAAAATGCCTAACTGCTCGATTCGCTCGGCAAAATAACAGAAATGCTGTGTTTTAAAGAGTTTTCAGTAGATTAAGGCCGCATAAAAGCAGTCGGTTTTTGGATTTAACTGGTTTAAAATAAAGGAAAGAAAGAAAACTTATTAGATCTTACCTTCATCGCAATGTTCCCCTGTCCACCCAGTTACACAGCTACAACGGTATCCTCCAAGTTTGTTTGTACAAGCTCCTCCGTTCTTACAAGGATTGCTAAGGCATTCATCCAAATCTGAATCAATAATCATGATCACACCAAGTTACTTTAGCAATATTCTAGGAGTCGTCGACGGTCGCTGTCATCGTAGTTGTTTTTTCCTCAGCCCAAGTCTCTCGTAAGTTGATTATCTAGTCGGCACGCTTGAAAGAAACTTGTCATTTTGCAACCCGTGAAGGATGATAAAGCTTTGTCAGAGTAACACAGTTCAGAATTAATAGTAATGGAGGGTCGACTTTCCATTTTTCAATTGACACAGACACACTTGAGAGGAAAGATGCCGGGTGATTATTCATTCAGGGTACACTTAAGTGCCTAGGAAATGTTAAGAGTCTGATAAAAAAAATTAAATAAATCAAACTCTGAAAAAAAATTACCAATCAAACCTACCATTTTCGCAATGTTTGCCGGTAAAACCTGAAGCGCAAGTGCACTTGTATGATCCTAACAGATTGAAACATTTTCCATTGTTCTTACACGGATTTCCACTCGCAAGTGAACACTCATCAATATCTGGATGTGAAAGGAATAAAGGAAATAATGTAAAGCTACATATTTTCTTGCATAATAAATCAATAATTTGCACGTCTTTGAGAGTTCTTTCGTTCTTCCATCCCTTTAAAAATTGGAATTTGTCGCACGAGTCTACATGGAACCTATTTCCCCACGCATAACAGTCCCATCTGTACTCTCGTTCAATCTATTTTTTTGTTGAATTCACCTTGGTCACAATTCTTTCCTGTCCAGCCTTTGAAGCAGGAGCAGCTGTATCCTCCATCGTTGTTGTTACAGGTGCCTCCATTCTTGCAAGGATCTTTCAAACATTCGTTTATATCTGTGGGTTAGATGCAAATTTCCTCAGAGACCCTGCTTCAAAAATACGATTTCAAAATGATTAGCAGGCCTAGGTATCCTCTTATGATTTTTTACGCCCACACTGTTTTAACCACTTATCATCTCATTTTGTCTATCTTTAACTGTTATAAAATAAAGCCTTACTAAAATTGGAAAGTGTGCTTCCTAAGCTAGATGAGCTCAAGACAGGCCCTCTCACACTTTCCGTCTCCATTGAGTTTATGTTTATAATTCGTCCAAAAATTAGAAGAACTGTCACCTTCGTCACAGTCCGTTCCGGCCCACCCTGATGTACAGCTGCAACTGTATCCACCAATCTTATTTTGGCAACTTCCTCCATTCTTACAAGGCTTACTGCTGCACTCATTTACATCTGTTGAAACCAGACAGATAAAAATGGCGTAACCTTACAAAATAGCGAGATATGCTGGGACCTATCCCTACAGTTTTATTCTCGAGACGACTAGCCAAAAATTTTAAAAAGTAAATTTTCTTTCTCCTGGTTATACGTTAATGTACCTACCCAAACCCCTTCCAGCCAAACATTGGAGTTGAGTCTGATATCGACCCAAAGCTGGGTCAACATGCTATCATGATCAGGCTACCCCATTTAAATTTTTTTCATTGACTCTACCGTTTCTGCTCTTTCGGCTTCAGTTTGTTCGTGTGTTTGCTTGTTTTGTTTTGTTTTTCTCTTTACTTGAAATTGCGTAATGAGAATAGAAAGCAACTAGACAGCACTTTTGTCATAATAACTCACCATCCGCGCAGAATTTACCAGTGAATTCCTTGGGACAAAGGCATTTGTAGGATCCGATGGTATTGACGCATGTTCCGCCATTCTTACAAGGATTTCCCGCCTTACATTCATCGATGTCTGCAACATAATTTGGTGCGGTTATGATGTTATCAGTTAGGATATAGAGGAATGTAAATGTACCAAGATGTTGGGATATATTAAAAGGTGGAATAAAAAAAATGAAAAAACGCGTGAAATGTTAAGACACATTAATTTTTCTCACAGAGAGTGTTCTTCCCGACACAAATCTAAAGAAACATATTTCATAAAATGTTCCATAAGCGATTAAGCAAGTGAATATTTGGAGAAAATTGCAACCAGAATAATTATGATCATGACAACAATAATACTTGTGGAAATGGTATATTATTTTTTTACCTGAGACATGAACAGTCCCAACAGGAACGCCACCATCAAAGTTGTTTTCGCGACATTTATATTCCAAAAGCTCATAGATCTGAAGAAAAGTAAACACTTGGTAAAACTTAATTAAGTTCACTAATAGACCATCTTGATAAGGTCTTATTAGCCTCCACTAACTTAGTTCATATCAAAAATGTCAACATTTATTGACTGTAGAGCTTGTCACCCACAGACTTCTGCCATCTATCACTAGTATGGTTTCAGCTCTTAAACGCGAACTGGTACACGCGATTTCTTACATTTGATCAAAAATCAATTTGTACCTAAAGCTAAACAAATGAAACGATATCCAAAGACAACAAATGAACGCGCAATAGCATTCAGAAAATAAACTTCTTTAGCCCTCTACCAGATTTTAAGGTCTGCTGATCAATCGGTAAACTCGCTGTGTTTCTATGAAATTTTTCATAAGATTATACTTACCCTGACATGGTATTTCCCAGGAACACTCGGAACCTTCACATCTCTTGTGGCACAGTGCACTTTGCAGTCAAGATCACGTTCGGCATGAACATGCCCAGCACACTTGCTCGAACCAGCTCTTGCGTGGAAGTATACTTGCCGAATGCATGTGGGGCAGTAGATGTCTTTACGACAATATTTGTAGCAGCCTGTCGTTATACAAAATCAAAGCAATTGCAAGTGAAACCTGGAAGTGTAAACCTTGGAGGTCAAATATTAAGAAGCTATACCCTACAGAAGCATTTTACTTACGTTAAGATTCGATCTTCCCGAAACGTTGATGTCTTTTTTTGCTAATCATTAAGAAAAGTATTGTTATTATTACCATTATTATTGTTAGTATTATTAGTATTATCAACATTATTATAATCAATATTATTATCATCATTATCCTTTTCATTATTATTGTCATCAACATATCTCTAGATTTCAATTGTATATACACATGCAGCGAAAGACCAGCAGTCTCCACTAAGATTCCTTTTAGTGTATTTATTTACCTCTCACTGAGATTGTCCCTCCTTGGGGCGCACTGAAGTAAGTTTTACCCTCAAGCCAGAAAAGTGGATCTGCAAGTTAGATTTATGGAGACCATGTTTCGATATGAAACACACTATAAGTATGTATATCCTTTCATCGCATAAACTGCGGCGTTATAAAAGTATTTCCGGCCCTGAGAAAAGCCGTTACAACACACGTGAAAAAAAGTCTTATTTTTTACACGTGTGTTGATATAGCCAATCAGCTGCTGACACGTCACTCGCCTTTGGCGCCACTCGGTCAAGTTGACGAATGAACGGCAAAGCCTTCACGATTCTCAACAAAAGTTGTTTGTCGCAGCTTCCTCCAATTATGGCGGCTAAAACACTGAAAAAACCGTATTGCTGACAGACAGTAAAGTTCAAACGTTCCTAGAAGGGGAAGAAAATCAATTTACTAAAAGAAAAACAGAAAGTTACTTATTCAGTGGCTTTGGTGTAACCATTTCTTTCGGCTGAGAATGAAAATCGACAACTGGAAGGATTGGCCGTTTACCTGAAAGACTTCTGCTGTCAGTAAAAGTCAATAGATAAGAATTTTGTAAATTGAAAATTACGACCATTGTTGTTTTTGTAATCATGATTCAACGCATTTTCTATCTTAAGAGTTAGCGCCGACGCACTTTACGATTGTTGTTCGGGGATTGTCGATTCATTTACTTTCATTCATAAATAAAGTCTGCTTTTATTCTCAGTAAAGGATTATCCTGTTTATATAATAAACAAAGTAATACATGTAGATGTGGAATTTCTCTTCTCGTGTTCAACTCGAAGAGAAATTCCATATTTACGCGCGCTCATGTATTATTCTCTATATGTTCCCAGATATTCCCTTAAATACCGAGGCTACTTCAATTTCTTTTTAGGGATATTATTTTCTTGTTTTTTTAATTTATTTTTGGAAATGTTTACTTACTTCCAACGGTAACAGTTCCAAGAACTACTCTATGTGCGTTGTCAGGAATTGTACCACAATTGTACTCTAGTAAACTGTAAGCCTTGAAAATAAATATGAGCATTTCAAATATGTAGCAATTTCAGCTATACGACAGAAATAAAATAATTAAGGAGAACATGAAGAACACTAATGGAGTCGAGATCAAGTGGCAAGGAAACTAGCGATCGAGATTTTAGTTCTAAAAATTTAACAAAGATGTGGTAATTGTGAAGAAGAGCTCCCCAAAAAACCTGTCGGCCGACTGTCGGTCAACTGTCGGCCGACAGTCGGCCGACAGTTGGTCGTCTGTTGGTAATGTGTCGGTGACCTGTCGGTAGCTTTTTTGCCCGAAATATAGGCTACCTGTCGGCCGACAGTGGGCCGACAGTCGGCCGACTGTTGGTAATGTGTCGGTAACCTGTCGGTAGCTTGTCGGTAAAACGTTAACACAAACCTTAATGTTTTCTCTCGGTTTTCGCTTGATACAACATCCAACATGTGTAATACATTGACAAGAATAGCCTTTCATAGATTTGGTGGCTCCTAAAGGAGCCGTTTTGGAAGTGGTGAAATATACAAGATACTTCACTCGTAGAATCGTGATTTTAGCGGCGCGCGCCTAAATCAATTATCGCATCACGCATCCAAGTCTAATTATCGAATTGTTGCGTATAGTAATTTATTACTTAACATAACGAGCAACAAGATTCACAGTTGTATCATTTATTAAACTTGAAATTGGAAATAGCAATTCATCCCAAACCTGCAAGATAGAGGACGATGTTAGCAACACAAATGCACAAGGTAAACATCATTGTTACATACATAACATACCATAAGAGGCAGCGTTGCATTGTTGGGCGATTTGAACGAAAGTGTTTGTATTGATACGTAGCTTATGGTTATCAGAGTTTTTGGCCGAGTTTTCGATTAAATTATCTTCCAATGCGATTCTTAGATTGTCTGGTGTGTTGTAAATTACGCAAGTGATATATCCTATACGCATCTGATAACAACATTTTGAAAGAAACGTTTCTTTACATACTTTCAACTTTGCCGTCGATCGGTAAGTAGGTGAAGTCTGTCGAGTCATACATCACCATTACGGATTGTTATGTCACGTTAACTGTTCGTTTTTAACACAATTTTTCTTTTTTCTTAACCTGTCGGTAACCTGTTGGTTAGCTGTCGGTAGACTGTCGGTAACCTGTCGGCCGACAGTTGACCGACAGTGGGCCGACAGGTTTTTTGGGGAGCTCTTCTTCACAATTACCAAAGATGTAATAGTGGTTGCGAGATCGATCATGAAGCTTTTGCGGTAAAGGTCACAAATAAACTTTGGTCTCTCAGTATTAGTTTTACGTACATATATTTTGTAGCTCCCGTACTTCGTTGGAAGTTTCATTTTATGGCTGAATTTATATTTCCAACAATTCCACATTCTTTCTGGAATTCGTGCCGTCATGCATACACTTTCATCACCCACTTGCAAATAAGGTATGCGAATACATGAAGGACAGTAATATGGCTTGCAGAACTTTAAATAACCTACAAACCAGAGGTAAAAAAAAACAAGGGAAGTGCGATATAACTCACGTAATTTATCAATGAACAAGGTGTGTAAAAAATCCAGTGGATGAGCTTCATCCATTTAAGACAAGTGAGCCTAAAGAACTCTACCTTTCAGCGTAATTTCAGTTCCTCCTGGCTCGTAGAAATGTTTTGTTCCAGTAAGTTCAAATATTTCACCTACAAAAGATACGATTCGATTTCGTTTAGTTCTTCAATGTCAACTTTGTGATAGGGGCATCTTTGCTATTTATTAGTTATTTTTAGACTTCAGATATCTAATTTCCTCGAAAGCGTTTACGTGGAAAATCGATAGACGACGCACAGATTGCTGGAAATAGCCGATTCTTGACGCAGTATTCGTATATTGAATATTTGTATATCTCCCTTATTTTCTGACCTCGAAGGACCTACAAAAAAAAAAGAATAATAATGAAAATGCTCGCCAGACATAAAATATTTATGCAACCCACCAGATCGAATTCGTGTTTCCGATGTAGCTTGGCAAAACCACAACGCAAGTACAGCAAGCAGGAGCGTCATTGCATCTATAGACAAAATTCAAATTTTGATACTCAAAAGGAAAAAAAAATTTAAACAGTGAAAGGAAACAGAATAACATTTTATCGAACTTAGTTACCCACTTGACCAGAACCTTCGGGTGGCAGAAGAAATTAGAGGAAACAAATGAAGCAGTTGAATGTCGCGAGGGTAAATGTTGCAGCATAGATAGGTCATCTCACATTTATATCATGAAACAAAAATTTGTTTACTTAAAGCCCTAAACGTCCTGTAAAGGTAAGCTGTTCAAATTTATTTCTTTGCTGAGGTGTTATAAAATAGAATCACTCATCATGAATTACAAGGGAGAAGGCCAAAGATAAAAACGAAGTGAGTAAAAATTTAATATGTCAAAGACTGTCTTAGAGAGCTTGAATATTCATTGGTCAAGAAAAGTTTATTTTATCATCAGGTAAACTGGGTGATAAAGCGAATAAATTTAATGGTACTTGGAACAAAGACCAAAGCTTTTCAATGCAAAGTCGTCAGCAAAGTAGTGATTAACACAATAGAGTACGACAGTAGCATTAGGGTGGTATTTGAACAGTTGTAAGCTGTGAAATAGTCTAACAAAGTCTTTCCAAATATTGCGTTAATCACAAATAAATGACTCGCCACTATTTAAAGTAAAAGTGATGGTGATACAGGAACATGCCACTGTTTGTAAAAAGGAAAAGAGCTGTATAATAAAAGTTTGTTTAAATTTCGGCAGAAAGTATAACCTATAGCATTACAAAAGAAATTCATAGTGAGTCCACAAAGTATGAATTTTGACAAAATTTTGAGTATTATAGGGCCATCCACTCAATTAGCAAAATAATAAAGGGGGTAGGTTTTTGAAGAAACTGTGGTGCTGAGTCGGTGGGAGAGTATAGCAGGTAATCTGGTGTTAACAACTGAGTTTAAAACGTAAATTGGCCACCGTAAAGTGTAAAAAAGCTGACGTTTCAAGCGTTAGCCCTTCGTCAGAGCGATTAGCAAAATAGATTGTGTAAGTATTAATGAATTGACGAAAAGAACAAGAGATCTGCCTTAACTAATTCTGTATGCTTTTGTCGATCGATTTGCAATTTTTAGTGGCTGGAATGTTTACAGTGCGATTTGTATTCTAAATTCAGTGCAAAATTTTTCGTATGGTGCACGCTGAAGCATCATGGCCTTGCTGAATTCGCTTCCGTGTATACCAAGCGCATGTTGCTATGACAGCGAAGATGTTCAATTTGGTATGAATTTCTCATTCCTATTTGTTTTCTGTCAGTTAACATTGGTGACAATGTAAACACAGGTCTTTCGCTTTCTCTTCATCCCTTAATTTTACTTCTTCTTCCTCCCTCTTGTTAAGCAATGGATTATTCCCACACGCTCGGTTATTTTTTTTATTTTTTTATTACATTTTCTTGTTCATGGTTTGTCATTGTTTGGCAGTCTTTGATACAACATGTTTATGAATTGAGCGGATAAATCCGAAGCGATAATACCACTTGGGTGGAATTTCTACCCGATGCAGATGACAGTTCCTATCGAAGAGTGCGTGCGAATAAAAATGGTCTCCCTGCAATTATTTAATTATTTTGGTTGGAATTTTTGTTATTGCCATCATTTTAGAAGGATGTTCTAACTAAATAGCGTCAAAAGACCTTAACAAACTAATCACTTAGCGCAATATTTCTTTGCACAGCTGGCATATTAAAAGTAAACATAAAAACGATATTAGCACAAGGGGGTTGGAGAACAAATATTGTGAGTAGATAATCAATCGACACAGAATATGCAAAAACTAATTGTCGAGTCTTCCTTGTATCAATTACACAAGTTAAGGAAGGAGAGCCCGTTTACCAAACGCGAGGGACACATCTTTTAAAACAAAGAGTAAGCGAGAAATAATTCTTTCCTTTTTAGCTGCTGTTCAAACATGGTCAGAATTACTGCTAAACTGCTTCCCTTAGTGTTTGACTATATTTAAACTTTTCATTCATACATCTCTAAGCCTAATTTTTAAGTAACCGCAAGAACTCCATTCGTGGCTGTGAATTAGATGAAAACGCTACAAAAGAAAAAAATAATGAAATATTTAGCTACCAGAATACTTTCTTGAACAAAATAATGCAACTTTAAACTGCATCGGTTTAAATTTTGCCATTTATTGCAACATATCAAGAGCTAACTCGAAAATCGAAAAAAAAGTGAAAAATTTAAGTTGAATTCCGCCTCCATATGGTATTAATAAATTATTTCGCGGGTTTGGATTGTACCCCTTAACTCACCGATTTATTCCTGTTACGAATAATACTGGTTAGAATCAAGGGCCCTATCTCAGCTAAAGAAGCTTTCATTATTTATTTACAGGGTAAAAAGAATTTCCCGACACATGCGTTTCTTTTTTTTTAATATTTCTTTTAATGAAACTTATTTTGCATAACCATGATGAGCAAGGAGAGAAAGAAATCGCTCGGACCTACGTTTTCTATCTATCGTGACTGAGGAACTTGGAAAGGCTAAATTGTCTAGCAAATCTAAGGCATAACCTTCATGAAATTGGAATCGATATACAGGAAAGAAGCTTATCTCTGCTTTATTCAAATCTTGTCTAATTTTCTAGATATTCGTCTAATTTTCTATATTTTTTATATAAGAAATTGCTACAGAAGGTAAGGAAACAAAAGAGTTGCGATAAATATTGTGAAATTAATAATAATAAAAATAGTGATAATGATAATAATGATAATCTAATGTGTCTTTATTCATTCGATTACAAAAAAAACATATGAAAAGTTTCAAGACGATAAAATTAATTAAAACATTTGAAAATAAACGCTTATGGATTGGAAATTGTTAATTTCTTGTCAATTTTCAATTTACTGTGCATACCTTAAATCGATCGATGAAAAAAAGGCTGTTTTTAAAACGTTCGGTACATATACATTTCCGGAATTTTCCACACTTAACAAGCTGTCTATGACTAATTATAGCATATGAGTAATAACTTTATAAGACGGGAGAGATTTTATTTGGAAAGATAGCCAGAAGTTATTGTGCGACAACAATTAAAGCATTTTTGGCGACTGACTTCGAAATCTGAAGGATGTTATCTTGTCCTCGAAGAGTTACTGGCTATAATTACTCATAATTTTAAAGGAATTTTCAGTTGTTATTCACACGCACTCAGAAAAGTAGTTCAGATTATTCAAACTTGAAGAAAAAGAGCTATAACTTGATATGGAGGTCCAAAGGAAGGTCATGTAAACAGTAGAAAGAAAAACCGTGGGAAAGTTTATTTTGATAACAAGGTTGTTGAGTGTAGAAGTCAAACAACTCAATTTGATCCTCGGTCTTTAAGCGTAGCTTATATTGTTATGTGTTGTACATTCATCTTCGTTATGGCTTCGGCGGTCAAAATGTGTTATATCGGTCAAAAGACCGTTCAAAACTTCTCCTGAGTTAAAAAGGATGTGATGACTTTCTTTCGTGCAACTTTGCATTCCCCGCCAACTAAATCATTTGATAGGCTTTTTCTCTCACATTCACTCACGCTTCTTGATTGCTGGTGTTGTGTTTATTCGAAAACACTCGATTATTATTGTTAAAAGGAACGGGGGAACCCAAAGTAAACGAAAGACCAATCGATATGACGTTTTGTAAGTTGAAGGAAAGTTACGACAAGGATCCATTTACCCCAAGCTACAAATTCGACGATCTTGACAAGCTCATAAAATTGCTAAGTTGCTGAAAATTTCCAACGCACAGAACGCTATTTGCCTCATAGCACTTGAATACTTTAAAACTTTAATTAAAATTGTAATACTGTGCACTCATTTCATTTGACAGGTCTGTCACAAAGATACGCGGTTGAGTCTTCGACGAAAGGAAAATATTTCGCAGTGCGTTTGAACGAATTAAGAAGTTCAAACTTCGAAGTTTGAATGTCAACAAAGCCAAAATGGAGCTCGAAATTTCAGGAGTTAGAAGGCGATCAACACGACGCCGAGAAGTCTTCATTGTCGTTCTTTTGGTTGTTCTTTTCTCAGTTGCGGCATTTCTTATTGGGTATTTCGCAATGAAGGCTGAGGAAAATACTGTAATATGCCGTCCAGGCGATGGAAGAGATGGAAATGGTAAGAAACCGAAGGAAAAGTACCATGACATGTTTCAAGAGGAAGTAAAGGCCAAAAATATCGAAGAAAATCTCAGGTGAGAGCTTTCCTTAATTCTCTTTACCTATGCTAAAGATTTAAGAAACAAAAGGGATCTACTCGCATTGTTTATCGCCTTGATGATGATATCATGGAGGGCTCCACAAACTTGTTTGACAAAATACATATCTGGGTGATAGGAAACATAAAGCGATTAAAAAATAAATGTTTAAGCATAACTTCACACCAATTTTTATGATTCACCTAAACACTGCAACAGCTGTCTTTAAAGGCAATCGTAAGTATAGTGATTTTTTTTTCATGTTTTGTTTAATAATCCTCTTGAGGGTACCAACTGAAATATCTATTCGATTACAAGCCGACATGATTTTTGTCTTCCAAATAATGTTATTTTGGGGAACTAAGGTCAAACACCACCCTTAAACCATGTATTTCGCAACTAGAAAAGGGAATACAGAGCCATTGAATAACGTGTTTTCTTTTCAAATAATAAATATTATTCTTTTGATTTAGTTTGATAAAACATAAACTAAATGCTTCGCAAGCTATGTTAACGAGTCTGACTTAGATATTGAAAGGTAAATCGAGTTATTTTCGTTCACAACGAATTGATGCCAACCAAAACTAAAAGTTGTAAAGGATAAGGAACTTAAAACTTGAATTGTCTTCAACGGACAATTTTCAGTGTTAGTCAAGATCAATTCCGTGCAGTATTTTTGACGGTAAGCGGATCTGTGAACGAGTTACGACTTTTCGTAGCTTACCCCTTAGGTGCGCATTCTCTGTTTCAATGCAAATACAGACTACATTCGCGCTGTGCCGGTTAAATTTGAAAACGGCGTTTTTAATTTTATCTGCATCAAAAGATCTGCGTCCATACAGGAAAAGATGAAAATATTTGCTTTCACATTACAACGACGAGCCACGTGATAAACGATTGAATGCACCTTTGAGCATGCGTGCTCTCCTCGCCGGTTGTGAGCGTCGTTTTGTAAATTGTTGTAAAATCTGTTAGTTGTACGGTTGCAGCAGAAAATTCTTAAATAATCTTAATAAAATGTTGCAAAAAGATCGAAAGTAGAACACTGTTGATAAGATGAACTATCCTATTCACGTGATGGAGCGGAATTTTTAAAACAGACGAAAATAGAGCTAAAACAGACGAAAATAAAGCTTCAGCAATTACGTTGTCATTTGAGGAGGCCTCGGGCTAAAAGATCGGTCAAGTGCGTGACGTCAGTGTTTTCGTTTTCGTTTACAAAGATTTCTCGAGAAGATTTCAAATTTATCCATTCTAGCCGGTGTTTTCAAAACGCTTCGTTTTCGGCGACAGATTCCCCCGGTGTTTTGTGGATGGAAGGCCTAACCCAGTTAACCTTTTCACTCCCATAACCTGATTGTTGATTCTCCCCTCTAGCTGCTACACATTTCCTTGTGAAGCAGCTGGGAGAATTTGGTGTTAGATCAAGATGACAACTTTAACCTAATAAGTTTGAGTATTCTCATTTCCTTCTTGCTGGATAATGTGTAGATATTATAATCAACCCTTTAACTTCCACAAGTGATTAACAAGTATCTTTTCCGCATAATGTCTAAACAAAATCCAGCAAACAGGTCACGAGAATGTTCATACTTATCAGATCAAAGTTATTACCTCGATCTGACACCAAATTCTCGTTAACTTAGTTACAAGGAAATGTGCAGCAGCTAGAAGGGAGAATTAATAATCAGATATTGGGGGTAAAAGGGTTAATAGCACGTTCAGCACTGTTATCGTTCATTTGATCCACCGCAATACAGGTTCATCACGTCAGAGCCCCATATGGCTGGATCGCAGCGTCAACGAGACCTTGCAGAACACATAGCGGATAAATGGAGGATATATGAGTTCGACGAAGTGGAAATGCCGGAGTACGAAGTGCCACTCTCTCTCCCTCAAGAAGACAATCCAAACAAAGTAGAGGTTGTCGTCAACGGAACTAAAAAGCTGACAATTCTGGGAAAATTAAAGGCAAGCGACTATTCCAATTGGTGCATTATCGTAATAAAATACTCTGATGGGATATCATCCTCTCTCGGTATGATGCATTGGCATTCAGAGCCTTTTTTTTTCCGTGAATGGTTAAAAGAGCAAAGCAATAAAGGAAAGAAAATTCAACTATAGCAAACAAAATCAGGACGGAATGTCAAACACGGCCACATCTAAGCACTTAGGAAGAAATAAACACCTTCCTCGTACATAGTGATTTATAATGTTAGGATAATGCTTATAGAAAACGCACCTAAAACTTATTATTCCATGGACGTTAAGGCTTGCGTTTCCAAGAAATGATTTATTGAACGCAATGAAACAAATAATTAGTTTTTGTCCATATCGTGACATATTATATTTTTGAATTTTATATTTATTCTTTTCTTTCCGTTGTACCATTTTGCAGGCAAAACCTGAGCCTAAAGCCAAGAAAGCATTTGACTATTTTCCGTATTTTGCATACTCACCAAACGGAACTGTAGAGGGTGAACTCGTTTTTATAAAGGCAGGATCCGAGGATGACATCAATCTTCTCTTAAATCGCACTAATGTGTCTCTAACAAACAAAATTGTCATTTTAAGAGGGATCCACGCACGGGTAAGTACACGCAAACTTTATTTCAAGCAAGCAGTCATGGTGCACGATCCAATGTAGTTAAACGATAAATCAAATTAAAAAAATATATATATTCCAAAAAGGAAATTATTTCCTTTTCTTCCCCTTCTGGAACAAATAATTATGACCCGTCAAGCTCATCTCCTGATGAGACCTATAACTAATAAAAGTACTTCAAGCTTTGTTTAAAAAATTTATTAAAACGAAACAAGCAAAGTTTTTGCGCGCTGGATCAAATTGAATCAAAAGGTAATATCGAGTCACTGCCATTTTGTACTTCTTTTCGTGATTGGAGAACCTGTATGGTTTCACGCGGATTTCGGGTTAAAGGTGTTACATAACATATGAACATTGATTAGCTATGTAGTTTGAGACGCAGTCAGCTGAAACAGCCCCCCTCCTCCCCCTCCCTGTCTAAAATCAATAAAATCCAAAGGGTGAAGGGACAGAGAGGGAGACCATTTAAAGAGCTGGAGGGAAATAGAACACATAATCCGGCCTGAAGGGCGAGGCAGATAGAACGCCCAAAGAAGGACGAATGTTCTGAAAAGGAGCGTCACCTTTTATCATTAATCCATAATAGGATAATTTAAGCTAAATGGTGGATGATGAACGATGCCGCTGTTGTTGTTCATTTAAATATATCGTCCATTTTATGCGTTACACTCACTTTTGTTGATAAATATAGGTACTTCGTAGGCTGCGAAATCAATGTTAAGTTAACATGGACTGATTGTTCTGAAAATTCTTCCCTTCCATTACAGACTGACTTGGCAGTCAGCCTCGGCGCTATTGGAGCACTGGTATTTCCAGATGTGCACTCATCCAGACCAAATGATACCTATCCGTACACGTCAAAAATCTCTGGCGATGCTGTGTTTGAGAAACCAGAGGCCGCAAACTTTGGTGACCCACTGACTCGCGGAATACCCTCTATTGAAGGAATGTACCGAGGACCCAAAAATTTAACGGCCTTCGCAGCAATACCAACTCAACCAATCTCTTACAATGATGCACTAAAGTTGCTTAGTCACCTTCAAAGTAAGAGAAGAATTTGACTTCGAACGCGAAAAAATAGTAAAAGAGAAAACTTATCATCCTCAATTTTTTTAACTTTCCAACTGCATCACACGTACCACTGAATTTCTGTTTTCCAAAAACATTTAGGAGAAACTTTTTCTCTAATCATGTATCACTGCTATTTTTTATGTCGTTTAATTCTTGCTTTTGTTTGGAGAAATGGAATCGAGCCCAAAACATTCCTTTTCGTATTTGCAGGCAACTTGGTTCCAGAAGAATGGCGAAAAGAACTTAACGTCCCTTTTAGGAATGCCACAAGTCTCAACAGCTCTGACACCATTGTGCGACTTTCTGTCAATAACGTGGTAAAAATAAAATCCATCTATAATGTGATAGGAACAGTTTATGGTCGTGAGGAACCAGACAGATACGTATTAATCGGCAGTCATCGAGATGCTTGGTTTTTGGGAGCCGCTGACCCTTCAAGTGGCACCGCAGCTCTATTGGAAATATCGCGCGCTGTCAGCGAGATGCTTCGAGAAGGATGGAGACCTCGACGAACCTTGAAGTTCTGTAGTTGGGGGGCGGAGGAGTTTGGCCTGATTGGCTCAATAGAATGGGTAGAACAAAATCAGAAGATTCTATCCGATAGAGCCGTTGTTTATTTGAACACAGACGTGGCCGTTGGTGGCAATTACGTATTGGCAACCCAAAATTGCCCCCTTCTCTCGACAGCCATATTTGATTGGGCCAAGAAAGTCAAAGATCCCAACGCACATGGGAATAAAACAAGCCTGTATGACATAATGGTGGAAAGAATGCCTTCACCCAACAATCCCAGCGAGCCCTATGTTGTACCTTACTTTTTTCTCAGTGATTACTTCCCTTTTTATATGTATCTGGGGATACCTTCCGCCGATTTCAGCTATTTCTATGGGCCTGGAATGGAACTGTACCCTGTCTATCACACGCAAGAAGACAACTTTTACTGGATGAAAACATTCATCGATCCTAAATTTGAGTTTCACGAGGCTGTTACAAAATTTGAAGGAGGCTTGCTGATAGAACTGTCAGACATCTCTATTTTACCATTCGATGTCAAGCGTTACGCAAATGCCCTACTAGCTGGTTATAAAGCGCTTCTCACAAAAATGAATAACGAAACACTTCCGACTGGGTACATTAAAAAAGCAGTTGACGACTTCATGAAAGCCAGCCAAGCTTTCGAACGATCAAAGTCAAAACTGAACTCGGATACTGCTGACCCATTGCAAGTGCGCATGGTCAATGATCAGATGGTACAAATCGAGAAGGCATTTATCAGTTCTTCAATGCTCTCAGATATTTTTCTTTCCAGACATTTGTTTTTGAGCACAAACTCACCCTTCCCTGGGGTTTTGAAGGCATTAAAGAAAGGAAGCATAAATGAAGTAAAAATGCAGATGACACTGGTAGTAGAGGCGATATCTTCTGCGGCAAAAATATTACAGCCACTGCCGTCTGCCTAAGAAAGCAGAGACAGAGCATCGTAATGCGAAAATTTTATGGTTACACGACAAGTTATCGATGCTGTTTAAGTTAGACCCTAGCTTTTTTTTTTCTCAATGGGCTTCATCTTAGTTATCATATTTTTTTTTTAAAGTGGAGGAATTTTTAATATTTTGCTTCGTCTGCGGTGCTATAATGTTTTATGATTGGCGCTTTTAAGCACAAGAAAAAAGGAGGTCAAGTTAAGAAGCATTACCCATTAAACCAGTCTACGGGAAGGGCTATGTAAGAGTGGTTGCACAAAGCATGTTAATAAAAGGACTCCTGAAATGGAGGCTCGCTAGCTGACTTGTTTAGTATTTAATTTCTACCTTTCTTGTTTTGTCTCCTCTTTCGGATTACCTTTTCGCTGCACAAACTTTTACATATTCTTCGATAATCCTTGAGCCAGTTTACGCCATTGAGACAGTTAATTACATTTAGACCGTTAAAGAGGGTTGTCCTGTTCAATCGCCTTTTGTAATGAAAATAGCAAACATCGTCTCAATATTGCGAATATTGACATTTATGCCTGTTTATGCCCTTTCTGTCACAAATTATGCGTGTCATTTATTGGCACATTTTACGGTAGTTGGAAGCAAGGATTTTTAAAGTAAAACTTGGAAGAAAAAGCTTGATAGGCAGAAAATTTCGAGCGTATGAAACCATTTCATATATAATTTCAGGAAAAATCACGGAATTTTAAATGACATCGACTCAATACATTGCTAGTGTCCTTGCGTTCTAAGTCTTATTTTGCATCCTCGAGTGACGGACTTCATGCACACTTTAGCTGTTCCCTTTTTTTCTTCGATCAGCGTTATTTTATTTTCTCAAATTAACAGGGGATAACTTGTGCACCAAAATTATGCAATCCAAAAGATATTGGTCACCCTGCTCGTTCAAGAGCTAAAGATTATCTTACATCTTTACCTTGTCCATTGATTGAAAAAACAATACCGTGTTCTCGGAATGCGCGCGCTTATTCGCCTCTATATGTGATTTTTATACGCAGTACAGGATGGGTAGTGCAATATCGAGGAATCATCGTAAGACCTTGCAATACTCGTGATGAGTTTAGGAATGAGGTTTAGATTGCAATGAATACATACATTTGCCACACTTAGAAGCATTTTAGAGGGAAATTAATTCTCATAAGTATAAGCTGAACATCTCTTGAGATCACTTAAGATAGTCTACATACGTTTGGACTGTTCCAAGATCTCCTTGAGGATAGACTGGGACTAATTATATTGATGAACGACCTATGGCTGAAATTACGACTTTAAGCAGGAAAATTGCTTGAAAGGTAGCACTGGTCACGATTTTTGTAGAAATGGCTTAGAGGCAAGTGAAAAAGTTTTTGGCGGGTTACGGCTACGTAGGAAAATTCCCGTTCTCAAAGTGACGAAAATTAGACTCAACTTCCGATGGCTCGAGCCACGCCACAAACTCCAGGCGAAGCCTAGCCAAAATTGATTTCACATGAACTTCTTTCCCCCTTTTACTGGAAAATGAGCCTTCAGGTCAGAGCAGCAACAAAGTAAACTGCGTGTCAATCCAAAACATCCAATTTGTTTGAAAGAGCAGTGTATTTTTTTTCTTTTTTTTCGCTTGAGCAACAGTTAATGTAATTTGCGAAGTTTTTTGGCTTAACTACACAGTTCTTTATATTGTATTAAAGCGAGAAAACTCTTTATCGAAGTTGGTTAAAACATTTAATGTTTGTATATAATGACAAAGAGCCTGTTATTTTGGTTCATGAATTTCTGGTTGTCTGTTTTTGTTTCGTTTCGGTTTGTTTTTTTTTAAAGCCCATTATTAATTCCTGACTAGCTTAATTAGCTCTATTCGATAACTCGCAACCCCAAAAGAAATGAAAGGGTAATGCATAAATAGTGGTTCGCGGTTCCTAAATATGTTTGACAAAATTTGGCTTCTTGTTTCATCCAATATTTACAACCAGCGTTATTAATAGTTGACGCATCATGTTTGGAAAGTTCTATTTATGTGTAGAGTAATACTCCTATTCCTACCACACTCTAAATTATTGACAAGACCCTCTCCCCAATTTAATGTTGTCTGTATGTGGCTTGAAGATCACGAAATCACGATACAACATTATTTCGGGAGAAGAGGGGGAATGGTTTAACTTAACGAGGGCAAAAGAGATAGAATTAAAGAAATAAGAGGTATAACTACTTCCGTTGAAGCTAAATGTAACCGCCTCCGAGGAAAGCTGCGAAATATTTCCCGGTTAGATTGACACCTCCGTGATTAGTTCCTTTTAGACGGAAAATTATAGTTAGCGTTTTAGTTCAGGATAAAACCCTGTGTGATCAAGATCGTTTTTGAATAGAAGACAAGTTAGATCGTAATCTTCTATAAAGTAATCAAGACCCGCGAACGTTAGTAAGCAATAACTTGTTTTGTGATTATGTTACCTAACTTGTAGTCGTTACTCAAAGCGAAACTCATCGCTCGTTTTAAACTTTCTTTTGGTTCTTTTAATTACCACGTGCTCGTTTCCAAAATCGAGATTATTCTTAGCTATGATCACAGTACTTAGGTAATTTCTTCGTGTAACGATTTCAGTTGTCCACTTCGATATAAGAACGCCCCAAGGAGTAGGAAAAGGAATAGGAAAAGGAATAAAAGAAAGAAAAGATCCTATATTGGTTTAGTGTTTATCGCATGCGCGTGTATCAAACTGAAATCGAGTTTCTAATTCTAGCTTGAAAAGAAAAATTTAGAAGAGGTTGAAAAATTTAATGTTTCAGCAACTTTGTAAGCGATTCTAGGCACTCGTATGTATTTGTACTTTGCTGGGAGAAATCGTGTTTTGATTTAGAAAGGATCCATTACAGGTGTTCAAGGCCTAAATATAATAACTCTCCTAAATGTAATAAAGTCCTAAATGTAATAACATTTGGTCCTAAATGTAATAAGCCTCCCATGCAATCGATCCTAGACCGTTGTTATTACATTTAGGACTTTCAGAGTACAATATCTTACCTTCCGTCATCTTGAACTTCCCCTATCTTAAAAAAAATTGTATTTGCTTTCCTCTAACTATTTGCTTCTATGCATAAATAAACGAATTTAATCACTAGGCCATTTATTGCACCCACACGTCCATTATCCCTTGTAAACATTATTGAAGAAAAACAACGTGGTCTCAGTAGTATCTTCAGCATTAAATGCAGCTTCTGTGGTCACCTAAATGAAGTAAAATCCTCTGTGGTCCTCTTGTTAGCGATATCAACACAAGGGTAGTATTGGGATCCCTACATGCTGGCATGGGGAATACCCACCTAAATAATTTACTCTCTACAATGAATGTACCAACAATGAATCATACTGCAAACCAAAGCAGCATTTATAATCATTTGTTCAAGGAACAATTTGACGGCAATGATGCTTTAGAGGATGTCAAGGCGCTGAGAAAAATTCTTTTTGAATCGTCATTAAGCCTCTCCAGGAAAAACATAATTGAGAATTCCAGTGTCATCAGTGCTCCCCACGCAGTGGCAAACATGCTCTACCTAGATCAACGCCACGAACTTCTTCTAACATTCAGTGATAACTTGTTCAACGTAACCGACACCGGACCAATTAAAAGATCAATGGCACAAAACATCCCTGACAGTGGTCTCTCTTACGATGAACTTCACAAACTGTACACAAGGTTTGGTAAAAGAGGACTAGTCGCCATATTGTCTAATCCACTAACAACTTCATCGGCGAAGACACCACGAGTCACACGGACGAAGAGGATATTGGCCGCCATAGTTAAACACTTCGAAAAAACCAGCAACGAAGAATAAGGAGCGATGCCCGAAAAAATCTCAGGCATAACATTTTACCTATTAGGAGACTCACAATCTCACAATCTCTTAACAAACATTCCGATCGAAGCGCCAACCAACACGTGTTCAAACTTACGCCTGTTGTTTTTCAATAAAAATATGGCTAATATAGTCAGAGGTTGGAAGTAACTATTTCAAAGTGAGCCTGGAGGGCTGTCTTTAACGGCTGCTGAATGACTTTCTGAGCACTAAACGTTTCCGAACGTTTATGATCGGATGCCGTAGGAGCTCGCGCGAGCACACGCAATTGTCAGCGGTAGCCGTAACAGATCATGAGCATTTGTCGATCTTATAGAATCCGGATTTTTAGATGCGCGAGAACGTACGTGGGAATCGCTAAACTCACGAAAGCTTTTGCATGAAAAATAGTATGTTGACCCCTTCTTTTTAATGTTCCAATATAATAATTACTTGGAAAGGAATCGTCAGAAAAAAAAAAAACTAGCAAATTCTACGGAAGGACATTTGCGATGCGTGAAAATTCCCTTTTTCTAAATTTTCTGAAATTCCGCTCCGTAGAATTTTTTAAAAATCTTAATGCATTTTCCTTTTCAAGTGCCAAAAGCAATCACTGAGAAAAATCATGGGGTCACCGGGTTAGTTTTCAAATTATTTGAGCCATAAGCTAAAAAATGCGTCTGAATAATGCTATGAAAGCGTTGCCATGGAAACTGCTAGTAACGCAATGACACCTATTTTTTGATAACCAATGATTGTATCATTCAATCTTGTAAAAGTGTTCAACTGGCCTTGGTCAATCTTTTTGTTATATTTTTTCAAAGTAACAAACCATCAAAAAGATGAAAACTGGTAACAGCCACCTTAAACAACATTCTCTGAATTCTCTCTGATCTCCTAATATGCCAAAGCTGTTACTTAGCAATGCACCGGTCATTTGGCATAGGGACCAATATTTCTTAATCCGCCTTATAATACCTAAGTGAGAGTATTTCAGGAATTTTAAAATTAGTTCTAAATGATTTTTTTATGTACTACCCTGCAGTGGCCCACAACTGTCACGGCAAAACAAAAAGTCATGGCACTACAAACTTTACTCACGGCAAAACAGAATTAACTTACGGCAAATTTGTAGCAGTGTCTTCTCACGCCTATCGTTATTTGGAACTAAAAGAAATGCAAATACGAACACTTTAAATTAAGAAACGTACCTCTACCACAGTTTTTACAAAAGTTTGCATCTTCATCTACTACTGAACCACACGCGGTGCAAAACATTGCGAGCTCGAAAAATGGCAGTTTTTCGAGCGAGCCGTGTGCTACTGTTACACAACGTACCAGTTCAGATGTAAATAACAACCGCTGACCAACTCGTTTTCTTTGTTTTGCCGTGACTTTTTTGTTTTGCCGTGACAGTTGTGGGCCACCGTGCTACTTAGCGTTATGCAAAATTTAGGTATCGCGGATCCCGCAGATCGTTTCAAAAGGATATGAAATCAAAAAGACAAAGCGCGGTTTGCTGGTTACTTGATCTTGATCATCATTGTGTTCACTTGGTGGGGAGTGACTTCAATGAGTTGCAAATTCTTGTTTCCTACTTGTTCATTGATTCTGATAATGCGAATTTTTTTTTCCAGGAGCTAGTTGCACAAAAGAGATGCTTACTTTTTCGCGTTTGAATGAATTTTAATGACATTAATTTTACGGGGGAACGAGGAATGATGAGCACGGAATGCAGAAAATGAGGAGAGTAGATTGGATTTTCCACCAAGACTGTGGTTATTGGCCACAAAATGGTCTTTAGAATGTAGTTTAGTCTATACCTTAAAACAACCCTAGTAAGATAAGTCTCAGGAGAAAAGAAAGTTTCACAACTTCACATCGCAGCAAGACGGGTTTCATGAGCCATTTTAAGTTATTCCGCTTTCCCCTTCCCCACCCTACAAATCAGGAATTTGCCGCTACATAATTCAATTAACAAGGGCATGTGATCGGAAACTGCATCGAAGTAATGCGTTCGAAGAACTAAGGAAAGACTAGACCTTGTCTTATAGGTTCATGCGAACCTCACCGGAGATGGAGATGGAACTTCCAATTATCCCACGACGATCGACCAGACGCCGTAATGTCTTCATGGTCGTTATTTTAGTTGTTCTTTTCTCAGTTGCGGCGTTTCTTATAGGTTATTTCGCAGTGAAGGCTGAAAAAGGTACTGCAATATGCCCAACCGTTAATGGAGCACCAGGCAAGGAAAAATACCACGAGATGTTTCAAGGGGAGATACAGGCGAAAAACATCGAAGAAAACCTCAGGTTAGTGCGCTTGGAAATCTGTTTCCGAGAGGGTCATTTCCTCTACTCAGAGAAAAACGCTTAGTTTAATAAACCCCTAAAGATTCGATAATGATTTCCTCTTGTTGCATGATGTCTATCAGTGATCTGAGTATCATATTGTAGAGGAAGATAGGTCAGTTAATTTAGTGTTCAGAGTTTCCGACACAGCGTTTCAGACACCAGACACAATTCATGTACAGGTCGAACCGGGTCAAAGAAACTCTTTCTATCATTATTAGATTTCCTAATTTCGTTGGCCGAAATGAATAACATAACAAATAATGTGATAGAGATCTCTATCGGGAGAATAAGGCAGTTTTCAACGAAGGGAAAAGTTGTGCTTGTAGTTGTATGAGCTTGACAAATTCCCTAAAGCTATAGCGAATCGAACCGGACTACGATGCGAAAATGCATGTCTGTTTGATATGCTAATTATCGGGAGTGGAAGCTGAATAATGAATAGTGAATAACGGCTATAAGTAAATAATGAATAATTGGGTTTGTAAACCTCGGGAATAATGAATAACGCAGTCATGCCAATGGAATAATAATGACCGCTTTCTTATTCGATTGTCCTGGTTATGTATTTTCTGTGTGAACCTCCCAAACGAGTGTTTGCCAGCACAAGGTCGAGGCGTTCAGCAACACGCTTACGGCTGTTTTGATTTATAACCAAACATGTTGAAGATAACATTTGCTAGTTCAAAATATGTAGAGCGGATAAACAGGCTAGGTCACGCACTTCTTATCAGTAATTATAAACCTTAGAATGAAACTGGAAATGTAGCAATTACATTGCCGAAATCACGGGAAGTTAATGAACAAGTAGATTCTAAAGCTTTGTAATTTTCACGTTCGTACTAATAGATAACAACGCGACTAACATTGGTCAGGTGTTTGTCAAGCTTATCTTCGATAACAGTCCACTCTGATCTCCTTCTGTTTTCTACACTTGTGTCTTTTTTTTTTCGGCTTTTACCTTTTTTCTGACGTTCTTTTGACGTTTTGAGCTGTTATTGAAATGTTTCGGTGGATTTTGTAACCTCCTCGGGATTGTTACATTACTTCGAATTGCGTGACTTGGCCCATTTTACCTCTCGAGATAGGCATCATAGTTATTTTTTTGTCGTCTTTTGACAGATTTTCCGATCTACATGCTTGAAGGTTTGGGGTCAACCTCAAGTTTGGAAAAACAGCCACTGATATTACATTTGGAGCTACATAGTTCCATCAAGAATATCAGAAAGAGATAATTTATATGATATCTTGTAATGAATAGTTTTCCTTTAACTTAAGTATCAGCTTGGGGTAGTGGGATAAGCTATAAACGAGTGAACACAAACTCAAGCATTATGCTTGTTAATTGAGAGGGGTCTTTTATTTTTTACCTACAAAGTCCCACCTCATCATGCAAAAGCTCCATACAGATGCTTCTTATCTTTCGCCTATTTTGTAATTTTTCCAAACATCATTCAGGTTTTGTTTGTATAGATTTGTCATTAATAACTGGGGCAAGAAAGGCATGTGCGACGATAGAGTTGCTTGCAGAAGAGACTATTGCCGTTAAAGAGAAAATTACGTTGTGATAATAATAACCATAGCACCGAAAAATACAATATCACCTTAGTTTGACAAATAGTATGATGCGACAGTGTGATACCTATAATCAAATGTATACGGCGGACCATAAGTGTCACGGCAAAAACAAAACTTAGAAAAGGACAAAGAGAACTCACGACAACACTGTAATTCAACCGCAATTCACGGCAAAACTCAACGAACTCACGGCAAGACAACGCCAATTTTTCACTGCGGAAGTGAGAAGCCACGCGGAAGTGAAATGCCACAGCGGATGTAACCTAATAACTATTCCATTACAGGCCATAATATGTTTTTGTGAACTATGGCAGAATCTGTGTGAGTTGACTTGGCCACCAAGACATTTATGAGCCACCGCAAATGTATAATCATGAAATAAAACCTGAAATCAAGGAAAAATCTTGCTTACGTTCAAGGAATAGGGAAGAATGAATACCAAAAAAAATTTGAAAAAGAATAATGAATTAATTCGAAAAAGAAACAAAGAATAATAAACAATCGAGGTCCCATTATTCAGCTTCCACTCCCGATAATCATAATATGACAAATTTGGCCATTTAGCCAAACTTAACAGCTGTATCAAATAAGTGCACTGGAGCAGATATCAGCTGAGCCTTAACACAGCCTTTAATGCAAAGACCACTGAAAGGAAATTAAAATAAAAAGAATTGTCACTATTTCCTTTCTTTCCAACGAACAAAGAAATTATTTTGAAAGACAAAAATAGTATAGAAACCAAGGCTACGAGTCATATACCTTGATAGAATATCTTTAAATATTTTTAACTGGGATTTACTTTTTTGTATTCAGAGCAAGTATTTTTCTACTGAAGTAAATATTTTTGCACTGGTGTAATTATTGTTGTAACGCACGTGCAGGGCACCGTGGTTTTTTTTTAATTTTTTAATTTTTAATTTTTTTTTTATTCTTCCTCTTCCTAGAGGGTTAAATTTTGATCACTAAATGAATGTACGAAGAAATATGGATTCTTATTGAAAAAAGGGTGAATTGCCGTAGATGATCCTTCGTGTTGGACGTTAGCGCTATTTATTAAAAGAGGGTAGACGAGAAGTATTTTGAATTCGCATATATATATTTGCATACATATACAAGTTGAGAAGATCAGTGATCGATACACTCGGCTGTGGCGTTTTGTTTTGTTGTTTTTTAATTTGTTGTTGTTGTTGTTGTCGTCGTTTTTTTCACATTTTAAAGTCATCTGTAATCTGTTGCCGAAGAGATACACGGCAATAAGGACTCATTCGTTATTTTATCTTTAATAATTTATCTTTACATCATTTTTGCAATGCAGGTTTATTACTTCCGAGCCTCACATGGCTGGATCGCAGCGTCAGCGTGACCTTGCTGAACATATCGCAGAAAATTGGAGGACGTATGGGTTTGATGCAGTAGAAATGCCGGAGTACAAAGTGCCACTCTCTCTCCCTCAGGAGAACAATCCAAACAAAGTAGAAGTTGTTGTGAACGGGACTATCGCTCATACAATTACAGGGAAAATTAAGGTAGGAGGTCTACTGGAGATTGACAATTACCATGGGCTTTTCTTGGATAGTACATACATGCGAAAAAACAAAACAAAACAAACAAGTAACTCGTTACACCTTAAAATTAGCGTGTGTGTTCTCCGTACTGCTCTTTGCACATTGCCTTTTATGAACGACGGCTTGGGCAACGCGAAGCGGCGAGAGGTCTACAAGGGGTTTAACACTGCGTGATCCCCTGCAAACGTTTTCCCGGGTTGCGGGAATGTCTAGCAGTTTTAATAAGTAGAACCGCCTCGAACGCTACTCACAGCGAGTATCGCCATTTTTTTCATTGTTTTTGCAGGCAAAACCTGAGCCTACTGCAACGAAAGCATTTGACCATTTTCCGTATTTTGCTTACTCACCAAACGGAACTGTTGAGGGTGAACTTGTATACATTAATAAAGGATCTAAGGCTGACATCGCTCTTCTCAACCATAACAATGTGTCTTTAACAAACAAAATTGTCATCGCAAGAGGAATTCAAGCACAGGTAAGTGATAAATATTTTTTTCGACCTCGTGGTTAAAATCGCTAAAACAAAAGCCTTTTTGTCAGGTAACGTACTAAAGACCACGTCCAATCAAAAATTAATTCTCAGAAATAAAACTTGTTTCAGGTGATTTTTAAGGGACAAACACTAAAAGTTGTAATTTATTTGATAGTTTATGGGAATAATCTGATGTTATATCATGCAATGCCCATTTCTTTACGTTAATATTCTAAAATATATTTCCACATTCATAAAAGATTCACCTGGCGGCCAGACTTGGTGCTGTTGGAGCACTAATATTTCCAGACGTGCACTCATCCAGACCAAATAATACCTACCCTTACACATCAAAGATCTCTGGTGACGCTGTATTCGAAAAAACAGTGGCCACAAATTGGGGTGACTCGCGCACTCCCGAAATTCCATCTATTGACGGGTTGTACCGAGGTGCCAGAAATATGACTGCTTTCGGAATAATACCATCACAGCCCATCTCCTACAACGATGCTCTGGTATTGCTGAAACAGCTTCGAGGTTAGAGAAACGGTATTTAAATAAAGAAACTAACTGTGCATCGTCTCTAGGAAGGTGACTGGTAAATGTATATTTTGTCTAAATAGAACTTTCACTAGGATACCCACCTTTTTTTCAAATTCAAATTTAGTTCTTGAGGTAACACAAATAATGAAGAAAAGAGAAAAAGACAACATTTTTGGTGTATTGTTAATCCCTTTTGGAGTTATTAAAATTTTGATCACCGGTCACAAGCATTTATGTTAGCGAAAACTTTTCTTCCACTTTGTTTTTGAAGCTCGTACGTGACCTCCTTAATGCAGTGATTTTCAAAACGCCCTCTGTTTTTATTAGGTCTTGTTTAGTTTTGTTTGTTTTTGTTATTGTTGTTGTTTTTATGCGAATGAATGTTTTCTTTCCCTTTCCATCCTGATTTCAATTGGAGAAAATCATTTTCATTCGGTTTTATGAAAAATCTTAAGGTTTTGTTTGATTTGCAGGGAATCCTGTTCCCAGAGATTGGCAAGGAGCTCTAAAATTTTCTTTTGGATTTGGTCCTGGTTTTCGGACGCCTAACAGCACCGCGCGACTTCATGTTAATAACGCAGTAGAAATAAAATCCATTTATAATGTTATTGGAACAATTTATGGTCGTGAGGAACCAGACAGATACGTATTAATCGGCAGTCATCGAGATGCTTGGTTTTTGGGAGCCGCTGACCCTTCGAGTGGCACCGCAGCTCTATTGGAAATATCGCGCGCTGTCAGCAAGATGCTTCGAGAAGGATGGAGACCTCGACGAACCTTGAAGTTCTGTAGTTGGGGGGCGGAGGAGTTTGGCCTGATTGGCTCAATAGAATGGGTAGAACAAAATCAGAAGATTCTATCCGATAGAGCCGTTGTTTATTTGAACACAGACGTGGCCGTTGGTGGCAATTACGTATTGGCAACCCAAAATTGCCCCCTTCTCTCGACAGCCATATTTGATTGGGCCAAGAAAGTCAGAGATTCCAACGCACACGGGAATAAAACAAGCCTGTATGACATAATGGTGGAAAGAATGCCTTCACCCAACAATCCCAGCGAGCCCTATGTTGTACCTTACTTTTTTCTCAGTGATTACGTCCCTTTTTATATGTATGTGGGGATACCTTCCGCCGATTTCAGCTATTTCTATGGGCCTGGAATGGAACTGTACCCTGTCTATCACACGCAAGAAGACAACTTTTACTGGATGAAAACATTCATCGATCCTAAGTTTGAGTTTCACGAGGCTGTTACAAAATTTGAAGGAGGCTTACTGATAGAACTGTCAGACATCTCTATTTTACCATTCGATGTCAAGCGTTACGCAAATGCTCTACTAGCCGGCTATAAAGTACTACCCGCAAAAATGCATAGCGAAACACTTCCGACTAAATACATTCAAAGAGCAATTTATGACTTTATGAATGCCAGCCACACTTTCGAACGAGCCAAGTCAAAAATTAATCTGAAAACTGCTGATCCATTGCGCGTGCGCATGGTCAATGATCAAATGGTGCAAATTGAGAAGGCTTTCATCAGTTCTTCGACGCTTTCCGAAAGTTTTATATCCCGACACTTGTTTTCGCGCACAGCTTTACCTTTCCCAGGGGTGTCCCAGGCATATAAAGAAGGAGACATAAATGAAGTGAAAAAGCAGATGACGTTAGTGGCGGAAGCCATCTCTTCTGCAACGAAAATCTTACAGCTGCCACCTCCTGCCTAAGGTAGTAGTAATAAGCTATGTCAGATTACACAAAAGAACCTTTTTTTTATTATCACGCTATGTCCTTTTTGTTAATTTATTGTAGACGACCTATAATTGTTTCATTGCAAAAACCTTTTTGGGAATAAAACAGAACAGATCAAACAAGGCAAAAAAAGCAGAGCAGAAACGAAAACAAAAACCAGACAAATAATAAAAAATTAATAATAAATAAATCAAAGGTTAAAAAACAACAACAACATGAAACAGGATATAAAATAGAACCTAACGCGCTTAAGGTCCCTTTCATGTTAAAGATCTAGTATCTCCTACAGGAAACTTTTTATTATCTGCGTCCCCTCCTTTTTATTACTTTATCGCAAAGCTCAAAAACTCGGTGAGAGCAATTGAGTTACATCATGAAGTAGCGCAGAAATACATTCTAAACAGACGCCTTTAGTATTATTATTATCATTATTATTATGATTTATTTCGTTGATAACGTAAATTATTTACCGTAAAGAGTTTAAAAGTTGACGTTTCGAGCGTTAGCCCTTTAATATCGCTCTGAAAAAGGGCTAACACTCAAAACGCCAGCTTTTAAACTCTTTACGGTGGCCGATCTACGTTATAAACGCAGTTGATAAGACTAAATTTCCCTGTTATACTCTCCCAAGGACGCAGTACCACAGTTTCTTCAAAAAATTACCCCCTTTACTCAAGGAGAGGCTTTCTGCGTCCCTATTTTTAACAAAGTCGTCAAGGTGACACTTAAATATACGTTAAATATCGTAAGTGCAGTTCTTGGTAATCATAGTGGCTACTGTTTTGCATGTTTTTTAGGTACTTGCTTAAAACAGTGAAGGTATAAAGTGAACATCTAGTCTGTTCTTTTAATTGCCTGGTTAAAGCTGAATGCAGTTTACATATCGCAGTATTATGTTTTTCTCCTGATGAGAGAATTAAATATAGACCGTGATTTGTTCCACTTCATTCGACTCTTGCATGTTAAATTCATGTTTAGGCGCGAACAAAATTGATGTCTCTAAATGAAAGAGAAATGTAAGTAGACATAACTAAAGCAAATGTAACTATGAGTGCAAAAATTCAATTGTAGGCAAATGCAAGAAAAATTGATGAATAGAAAAGAATTAAAATGATAGCATGATTTACCCAGCTTGCGCTTTGTCTTGTCAACAGTTAAGGTGGTCTCTAATGACCTTATGAGTGACCGTAACCGGCCGTAAGACCCTAAAATCCAGTCCTGAGATGATTTTCGTTCCTTTCAACGAGTGTTTTACATACCCGAACGACATGATTGTTTTCACTCGTTTTCATTCAAAACACTTCCAATCATTGCTTTGGTGAATAATACAAAGAAGGAGGATTCAAGAGGCTTTAAAGTCACTTCTTTAAATACACGTATTGCTAGATTCTTGAAAAAATATGAATCATAATGACCGTGAAAAAAGTTAACCTTAGAGACCACAAAATGAACTTGACCTAGTTTCAAACAAACTGTTTACAAGTAAAGTTATAAACATAAGTTTAATCATAGCTGCATGATGGTTCTCTCACTAATTTTTCCACTCCCCTTTTTACATTAAAATCTAGAAAATCAATCTATTCACTTGTGCATTTGCTGAATATCTATCCTCGAGATGAAACTGACTTTCTCATCTAGGCTGACTCCCACAAAGTACCCTTGAACTCTTTGACTGTCAAGTATCATCAATAACAACAATTAAAATACATGTCTAACAATCCCTACCCGCAAAGTAGCCGAGCTAATCGAAACAGGAGAGAAATAAACATTAAAATATATTCTTGGATAACAAGTTTGACCCAACAAAGGAAAGGACCAAGAGCGCAAGCACACTTCAACAATAAAAAACTGTACGATAAATGATAAATACGCCAATTAGGCATCACCTATCACAACTGTAATAAAGTTTACACACAGAAAGAAAATGAAACTTAAATATGTTAATTTTCTTAATTTATCATCTCAGTGTGGAGGTCAACATAAGTGTCCTCTCGCATCAAAATATTCAAGCAGCTGTGTATGTAATTACTTATATTTCTCTCTATTAAAACCTCACAACATCACCGATAATAACAATAATAACATTAAAAATAATGATGACAATAATTATAATTATAATAATTTCAATAATAACTATAATGATAAAGTAAAGGCCCTGTTTGAATCTTCGTACTCAGCATGTTCCCTGCACTTCAAATAAATACTCATTGATATGGAGAATGATATTTATAAACTAGCAGCCATTTACATCCGGAACAATTTCCCTCTTCTCAATTGTTCCTTATTCCCCTATCGTCACAACTACGTCCATGCCAATATCAAATACCCTAGAGAGAAACAGAAATAACTCAAAAACACCAACAATCTCATGAACAAAAACGATTTCAAAAGAAATAAAAATGATCATTAAGTTTATCGTAAGTATATTGGTTTGCAATTACTTGGACCTTTGCATTTCCTTTGTGTTTTGTTCTTATTTAGAAAAGGGAGTTTTTTTTTTTTTCACTTTGGAAACACAGGCACTTATATCAGATTAAGTTGTATGATCGAAGGAACAGGGAATCACTAGCATTAATTATGTCCCATTTTGTACTTTCAAAGCGATGTTGTTTGAACTTCAATCCTTTGTAACCGTGTGCTCTTATTCATCAACTATTTAAAAATTATAGCCCGAGATTTCTATCGCGTGATATTTAATAAGGGTGAAGCCCGATTCAACCATGACGCAAAGAAATATAGAGCGAACGAGGTAATTGTCTTTATAGTTAGTATAAATATACAGGTCGTTCAAAACTTAAACTCATATTTTTACTTTAATCCTTTTTACGGGTCGCACAATTTTAGGCTACTCGTTTTATTCGCTATCTGTCACAGAGATAGCGAGTGGCATGGTCAGTCAGATCGTTGCATTAATAGCGAACACCAGTAGGTGGTCCGAATGAAAAGTTATTACGTCAACCATTACCGACGGTTGTTTAATTTAATTTTGACGTAATAGTTGACGATCACAGAATTGAGACGTATTTCCCTTTGACCGAAACTACAATGACGGAGTCATTCTCGATGGCCCTTGGGAAGACAGAGGCAATTTAAAATATAGACAACATTAACTTTTGTTTTTAAAGAAAAAGATTGGTGACTTAATCAGAAGCTACAAAAGCTTTGATTTGCACTTTGGCGATGCTTTTCATTCCCTCTTTCATATTTTCCTCAATATTTTAATATTATTCCAGCGAAAAGAAACAATCTCTTTACGATTTGCAAGTAAAAGGAATGAATGAGTTTGATTATATTGGAACATCAATTTCCGTCTCGTTAACTATCGACATTGTTTGAAAAGTGAACCTTGTACTCATTATTTTATTTATTCTTCATCGACTATTGCTGTATAGTATATCCTTATCGTGAATCCTAGGCCCATGTCCAAATTGATAGCCCGCACGAAAAAAAGAAAAAAAAACGAGAAAAAATGAGATATATTGACAATTTTACAACGAAGTAAAAAAAAAAAAAGGCACAAAGTTGTTGAGAAATATTATAGGTGGAAAGTATATTACGCCATTACATCTTCCTTTTTCTTTTTCTTTTTCTCCTATCCTCTTTAGTTTGTCCTCAGCGATAAGAATATTTAAACATGTTCTTTTCGTTTTATCATCAAGGGTGACTTATTTTTAAAGTAGGATTTGCGTCGCATAACTTGAAGACAAAAGACTTTTGCACCTACATCGATCGTTTTAGTTACTTCAATGTGATGACCTAAAGTTGAACACTTTCAACGTGAAGCAATTACAAAGCTGGAAAAGAATATTTACACGAGGTAGAGTACTCCCAAATGTTTGAAACGTTCAGCAAAAATATTTCAGTATGTTTTGAGTTTTAGTTCACCGTGCAGGTAAACGTTTTCTAAAATTTGTGCCACTGTCTTTTACATGTATGTAAAACATATCAGGTTCGTTTGATCTTCTCGTAGGTTCTTCGGCCCGATTGTATGCAGAGCATGGTTAAATTGGACACTCAGCTTGCCAAAAAAAGTTTTCCTTGTTAAAAAATCAAAATAAGCTTCAGAAACAATTTTTTTTCAATGTGCAGCAACATAAGAAGCTTGTAGTTCATAGCAACATCCACATCACAATACGTACGTTTAGAGAAAAACAGAAAAACAACATAAAAACGTAATTGTTTTTAAATACCCTTCATTAATGTGAAAGGGGGATGTTATTTAGCGAATAATTTTTGTAGCTGTTAGTAAATTTTTCATTGATATGTGTATTTCGTCTTATTTCTACAAACCAGATCATGCCTTTGGGAATTTTTTAGCAAACCCCTTTTTGCTCGTTTGAGCGAGACTAAAGAACGCTCCACACAAGGCACGTTTGAACTGTTTTTTCGTTTTGTTGTTGTTTTTTTTTTCAAATTTCAATTTCTACATGGTGAACACAGTCGCTGGTGCACTGTAGCCCATCAAGCTATTAATCCAAAAGAACCTATGACTCCTGAGGAGTCAAGCGTTTTTAATCTTTTCGTACGACTTAAGTAGCTAAGAAACAAGGTATTCCTGTTATAACGTAAAGAATGGAGTCCTCAACCAGCGAGTAATGATCGGAACGTTGACGGTACATTTTCAGTGCAGAGGAGTGGAAAAGATACTCAAGTTCAAGGTTGAACCATGCAAAGAAAGTTAACATTTTAGTTGCAAAGACTACTTTAGAAGAGATTTCATTAAATTTAAAGAGCAGTTCCTTATAGTTAATGTTAAAACCATTGACAACTGTTTCTGTATATGATATAATAAACGTAACATGTCAGAAGGATTGTTTTTATCCTTTAAATTAAAGTGAAAGATTGATGCGAATTTGACTGAAGGATTAAATGGTATTAATTTTTGTTTAGATTAAATTTTTAACTTCACCTCAATGAACTCTTGTCATAAATATGGTAAAAACAATTCATCCTGTCATCTGCAGCATGAAGAATA